TTTCCGCATTACTTCATAGTCAATTGTGCAATATGCTACTATGGTCCATCAGGAACTAAGGCCACACATTTCCAAGAAATGTACGACAAAGGCTTGGAGATTGCAGGCAAGATTTGTCGTGGAATTTACGAATCGACACCTTATCCATACTTTGTTATAGCACTCCTCCTTTTGCCAAACTTGGAAAATCTTACTGAAGAGCAGACGAGGTATCTTGTAAATTCTCTGGAGCAGATGTACACTCTGTACAAACGGCATGCAGCAAAAAAAGCTTTTACATTTTCCACAAAAAATAATATTTTATACTTGGGTCAAGGTGAGGGCTACACGAGCATTGTCCACCGCACACAGTTGCACCAATTTTGTGAGCTGAAGCAATGGCATGAGCAACGCAAATGGTGGTTCCAGGAAGTGTGGACTAATTCAGAAGTCTGTGAAAAGCTAAAACGCGTACGTGGATTTGTCCGGTCACAAGACAAGATTTTCATTAGCACGGCCTATGAAGATCTTAACATTCCAGTGACTCCTTCCAATCTTTCTTATACCCGCTGTCGATCGTACATTGAGGAAGTAGAATTCTACGTAGCTTACTCTTTGTGTGGACTCTTTGCATACGACATCAAGCCAGTTCGAGTAAGCAACAAAAAATAAAATACAGTTTCTACCATTTTTAAACATTCGAACCATTCAGCTAGTAAGGTTTATCAAGTTAGTCAAGCTATTAAAAACACTCGTGCTTGTCAGCCACTACCATTAATAGTGCTACAATATCCGCAATGCCATTTAAAATTAGACAACACCCTAATGATGTATCTTATGTGGCCATTAAGAGGTCATAATGTGCTAATTTGCACGAATGCTGCTGCCATTTAAATATATGGTGGCCGTGTGGTCAGTGATAAGAGTTCAGTATGCCACAGTTTACAAACCTTTTGCTTAAATGGCATCTAGGAACATTGGGTATTGATCATATTACTATAATGATATTACTATTAATACTACAAGATGTTCAAATGCTCTCCAAAGACATTTGTGTGTAACCCCGGTCAGCTTTAACACGCTATATCTGTAAAATAAGTTTAAAGTCCTGTAGTCCCTCAACAGTGTGTTGCTCGAAGACACCAACGTTATTTGTTATTTTCTTTGTGATGCTAAGGTAAATATCTACTGCAAATCATGAACTTATTCGCTTTGCGTGCAGGCTGTACTAATGTCACATCATAGGTGTCCAACAAGCAACAATATGTTATAAGCATTTGTTTTGATTTTGATTGTTTATCATCATTCTTGATTTTTTAAATCTGATTAAGTTTATGCATTTTGGCAGCAATGCCATAAAAAGGTGTCCTTTTACCACAGGCCGTGATGATTAAATTATTGGCATAAACAGTACTGTGCTGTTACAGTGCTGTTTACAGTCCAGTACTGTTTATGAAAATCATTTCAGACCTTGATGGCACGAACTATGAAATTATGAACGTATGTTTATTCTTTGGCTTTCTAGCATACTCTTTGGTTCTTTCGGTTTTCTAGCAGTTTGGTAACGTCATATGAATATCTATAAATGTGCACCTAAATGCCAAGAATGGCAAGCTACCATTCTTGGATGTTTTAATCGAAAAGAGACCAGATGGCTCAATGGGACACTGTCTACAGGAAAGCCACCCATACGGATGCCTACCTAACACCAGACTCCAACCACCATCCATCCCAGAAGAATTCCCTCATCAAAACTTTACACTATAGAGCCCGATATATTTCCGACCATCACCTAGTAAGTGAACTGGAACACGTACACCAAGTTCTCAAGATGAATGGATATTCAGACTACACAATTCGTAAAGCTATCACCCCAACCTTTGGGAAAGAACCATCTGAGGACCCAATCAAAGCCATCACCTTGCCATACATAGCAGGGGTCGCCAAAAGATTTCCAAAATCATGAGCAAACAAGTTCCAGGTTCGATCATGATCTGATCCCATCTGTGAAGGATGTGATCCCTGACATGCAGTACCCCGGCGTCTACAAACTAAGCTGTATCTGCGGCAGTAGTTACATTGGGGAAACTAAGCGACATGTCTTGCACCCGTGTTCGTGAACATAAGGCAGATCTGAAACACACTCGGACCAATACCTCGGCCGTGTCTGATCATTTGTTTTGATGTGGTGGGCTCACGAAATTGATTTATCTAAGACGAAGGTACTTTGTAAACCCACTGGACTATCAGCCAAGATTCGTTCATGAAGCCATCCATATATACAGACACAGACACAATTTCAACCGAGAAGATTGGTACAAACTTAGTAATCATTGGAAGGACGTTATTAACCAGTTTAAGTCATAACTGGCTGTGATGTTCCCATCCTGCCACCTTCCGATGTTAGTTATTTTCGGCTCTCCGATTTTACATTAACAGATTAAATTTCTCACACCAACACAGCCACCTTCGTGCGCCGACCTCGACGTGGCAGAGGCTTTGTGATCTTACATTAACATGATAATCTCTAACATTAACATAGCCACCTCAGCACTGCTAGCCATGGCAGGCCGCTCACCGACCTTACATTAACATGATAATTTTTACCTGGCAGCCTTATAATTGGTGGAATTCCACCGCCAATCGCGGTTGCTGCCCATCACTTAAATTAACAGCTGCCCCACCCATGCTGCTGACATTTGGGCTACGCCCATTTTAAACCTTTATAAACAGTTTGCCTTTAGAAGTTAACCCCCTTTTCCTGATGACAACCGCTTGTGTTGCGATCGAAACGTAGTTTTTTGTTATTTTCTTTCAACCGACGTGAGTTTACCGAAAGACCCAAAGAATATAAATGCCATCTTTTACGAAAAGTTTTTTTATTAATATGTAATTTATTTGTTGGTTTGAATATATTTTTTGCATGCTTTTGTTTTTAGTCTAGGAATTTTTAGCCAATGAGATACCATAAAATTTGATACTCGTCTATTTTAAATGTCAAGAAAATGTCAATACTACGTAGTATTTACAATAGTATTGCATTTTTTTTGCAATGGACGGAACCTAAACTTGAGTTGAAGGGCTAATTTACAAATTAACCACTATGCATATATTTAAATAAATGCAGTGCCACTGAGGTAATACTGTATACACTAACAATTATTTACAGGTAACACATTTTTTATGTAAAAACTGTTTTGATTGCCCATACTTTTTATGACTTAACCTCCATTGTAATAGATTTTACTTTTTGCCAGGTTTTCTTTTTGGAAGGTGAACTGCAACAGGCTTAACCATATGAGCATCTTCAAAGTTTTGGTCATTGGTAAACCAAAATAGAAGACAGTCTATTATGGCATACTCTCCAACCCGTAGCTAGTTACATCCATTATATCTGTATTGTGTAAGGTTTCGCTCTGCAATTCATCTTCCCTTCTACTTTCATATTCAAAGTACGATTCGCCACTATAATTACAGCTACACACGATGAGGCTGTCCGTTGAAACTCCAGCCCTGGGGTTGATTCAGACATTTTTCTCCCATCCAGGGTCGATAAAATGTATACTTACGTGGAAACACACAGCAGTATTTGTGTCATGAAGTATCTCACCCACACTATATAGATGTATAATTTCCACCAGACTCAGGACTATATACAGGAGATGTGGACCTTCCCATGCTTATTTGTGTGTAATATAATCACGTTGAATTTTTTTTTTTACTCATTGTCTACCATTATGTCGAACTCAAATAAAATATTAAGGTTGGAGAAGTGTAAAGTGTTGTTGCTTTTAGAACATAGAGTGGTCTCAGGTTATACTATATATGGCAAATATTGATGACGGTATTACAATACCGTGGGTTGTAGGCACTCTGCCACATTATCCCCATGTCATGTGGGTTAAAACAAAGCATTACGTCACTGGTGCCCACTTACAGAAGCTGATGGGCAACAGCCTAAATCGATATTATCTGAGATGAAAACGATGGCAGATTTATTTCAAGCCTACTTAAAGTGAATCAAGTGATAACTTACGTTCCATAAGTGTCTTGCATAATTCACTTGTACTGACTGTAGAAGTAACTTAGTCCCATGGTACTGTGCACACTCAGCTGAATGTCACCATGAGAACCATCTTTGGTGGAATGAGAACCCCACTGCCGTGGCTACCAGTTTTAAGGAACATCTCCCCCATAAGAAATGTTGCCACCTGCGGTGACCAAGAATGCTGGAGAAGGTGGATGTGGGACATCTTCATTCCTGCGTCCGTGCGTCTTAAGTTGAATGCCCTTTACCACAGTGCGACGAATGGAGACGTGACAAGGCCTTCATCAGTGATCCGCATGTGCAGATGCCTGGCCTTGATGTTTTGTACAAGATTTCGAAGGATCGCTTCCCTAGTCCCAATGTTGCAAATAAGCTAACCTTTCGTTTATCGCTTCCCTAGTCCCAATGTTGCAAATAAGCTCACCTTTATTTGACCAGTTAAGGCCCACTGAGCTTTATAGCTTTTTTTTCAGAAGCGACCTGGCCACAAATGACAGTTCAACTTAGTGGCTTATCACGTGGCAGCCAAATGTGTAGCAGCCAAATACTCGAAACGCATGTTTCTAAATTTGGGGAGAGAAACCGGAGGACCCGGAGAAAAATCTCACGCAACCACGGGCAGAGAGACGCGCAAACTCCAAATATACAGCAGCAGGCGTCAGGATTGGGATCGAACCCACGACCTCTTGTATACCAGGCGAGATAGTTAACATCTCCTCGCCACCGTGATGATGAGAGAGAGACACGCAAACTCCCAATAAACAGCAGCAGGCGTCAGGGTCGGGATCGAACCCACGACCTCCTGTGTACCAGGCGAGGTAGTTAACATCTCCTAGCCACCGTGATGATGATGAGAGAGAGACACACAAACTCCAAATATACAGCAGCAGGCGTCAGGGTCGGGATCGAACCCACAACCTCCTGTATACCAGGCGAGGTAGTCAACATCTATCCACCGCGGCGCCCCAAATGGACATGTCACGCAGCAGGTAAAGGGCGAATCAATATTTGGGACGGGCTACTTCATGAGTTTGCTAGCAGCTATCAGTAAATAAAATGTATCGCTTCGGTTATTAGTTTCTCACAGGCTGAGAGTAAAGACAACGCACCTTTGGAGATTGAGTTTATTTTGTTTAAACGGCTGGTCACGATGAGCCACCTTCACGGATATTTTTACAGGTGGGAGATCCAGCATTTGGCACGTTTTGCTGGTTCAGCAATTCCACTGCTGGATTCTAAAATTGTTAGCCTGAGGACGACCGCTTGTGTTGCGATCGAAACTTCGTGATTTATAATTATTTATTCTTGGTTCTTTCGGTAAAGTGACGTAGAAGGGAAAAAAGCAATAAAATAAAAAAAACAATAAAATAATAAAATTAAAACAATGCAATTCTCACGACGTTTCGATTGCAACACAATCGCTTTTTTCAAATTTTCTTGCTGTGGATTTCACACCTGATGATGATTGCTTGTGTTGCTTTATTGTTTTATTATTATTATTATTTTATTATTCCCTTCGACGTGACTTTTCCGAAAGAACCAAAGAATATAAAAAAACACAAGCTACAAGCCACCGCCCGATTTTAGTTACGAAACGCGTTCGTAGCAAACGTTCTGCTTCGCGCGACCCGTAGCGGGCGCGCCACGCGTTGCCACGGTGACGCGGCCGAGTCCCCCCCCCCCCCCAGGCTCGGATAGCGGCTCGCTGAGTGAAGAAGAACCCCTCGGCTGAACACAACAACAAGTAAAACAACAACAACAACAAATACAACAAACCAGAGACGAGTCCGTGCAGAAGACGGCTCTCAGGCTCTCAAACACGCCGTCGCGATGAAGGTGAACGCATCGCTCACGTCGGCAGAGTGTGGCGACGCGAACTCCGGGCTGGTTTCACGGGACGGTGTCGAGGCGGCTTGGGCCCCCCCCGCGTCTCAGGGACGAGTTGCCGCTTAAGACTTTCAACACTGGGAGGAACCACCTGGTTCTACCAGCCCACAGGGGATTATTGTGTCCGTCCGTCCGTCGTGCATCCAAAAATGGGAGGGGTGGGGCTGGGTGGAGCTGGGTGGAGAGGGGAGGGTGGGGAGAGGCTGGGTGGAGAAGGGAGAGTGGGGCTGGGTGGGGGCTGGGTGGGGAGGGAGGGGCTGGGTAGGGAGGGGGTGGGGCTGGGTGGGGAGGAGAGGGTGGGGAGGGGCTGGGTGGGGAGGAGAGGGTGGGGAGGGGCTGGGTGGAGAAGGGAGAGTGGGGCTGGGTGGGGGTTGGGTGTGGAGGGAGGGGCTGGGTAGGGAGGGGGTGGGGCTGGGTGGGGAGGAGAGGGTGGGGAGGGGCTGGGTGGGGAGGAGAGGGTGGGGAGGGGCTGGGTGGGGAGGGGCTGGGTGGGGAGAGTGGGGCTGGGTGGGGGGTGAGAGGGGTGGGGCTGGGTGGGGAGGGGCTGGTCACCCCGTGGTGCCCTTATAAAACTCAACGTTTAACCTACTCACGCCGGCTTGTGCCCGCCCTCACAGTCGGGCATATTTGCGGAATACACCACGCCGCCGTTGACCCTGCAGGCCATTGACCGAGCAACCCAACGTTCCTACCAGCTCCCTCCGCAGGAATGTGTTAAATAGTGAACTAAAGTACAACTTAGCGCCGCTCAAGCCGGTATTACTTGATGTGTTTGTCGGAGTGTACGCGTCATTTTTTTTTATAAGGCACGGGGTCCCAGTTTAACGCGAGCTTTACTGTACAAGGCATTCCATTGTAATGCGGTGCCTTAAGTTTCGTACTTTAACGTTGTTTTATTCACAGCAATAGTGGGAATTACAGTACCATAGCCCCGAGTGTACTATACGGCATACATTTACAATATTGTACAATGGTAGTTACTATGGCATGTATAGAATTGTATTTATTAAATATTTATACACTGCGAATACTACGATATAGATGGTTCTGTAGGTACGACAGTATATACGGTATAAATATTAATACAGTGAAATGTGGGACCTCCTTTGCCAGTACCAAATTATAAGAATAGGTTTTCCCCCTTTTATCTGGCAACAAAACAGGTGTTAATTTGTTAAAACACCAAACTTGTGGTCAAAATGCAACAAAAAAACATACTCTGATAATATATGCATTGTCTTTGAAACTGATTGGTCCACACCAGAGACAGCTTTCTGTTGAGCCTAGTCTCAAAACGGTGTTAGACCAGAGGACGCCAAAAGGCGTACAGCACAAAGACAATGCACTATCAGAGTAATGAGAGCTTGGGGTGAGCAGCTCCATCATGGGACCTCCTTTGCCAGTACCAAAATATGAGAATAGGTTTTCCCCTTTTTTCTCGCAACAAATTAAACACCAAACTGAAACCTTTTACAAGGAATCATGTCTGCATTCTGACCACAAGTATTGTGGTTAATGCAGACAACTTAACGCCTGCTTTGTTGCCAGATAAAAGATGGAAAACCTATTCTCACAGTGCAGTGTGTTTTACAATATCAGAATCGCGGAGCTTAGTCTCACTGAGTCGCAAGACCCTTTGGGCAGGAGGATACTACATGGGGATCTTTGACCAGTTGCATTCCTGTATTGAGGGGTTGGATTCATGTGGAAGGAATTCGGAAAACGCACACAAGGGTGGTGACCAGTCAAAGCTTCGCACAGATAGATTCACGGATCCAAAGCTTCTGGTCACCTTGCAGCCCAGGCAAGCACCAATCAGACTCAATCTGCGTAGCTTCTGAGATATGATACAATTGGGTGCGCAGCCGTGGGGATATTGACGTGTATGGGGATAATGTTACGGTGCCTGCTGGCTATGTTGGTAAGTATATGTCATTCAGTGTGGAAGAAAATGTTAATCTTTTACAGAGTTATTCAACATTCCAGGTAATGCTTAACTGGGTATAAATGTCCTTGGGACCCCTATGGACCAAACTGCATAAATTCAGCGCCTGGCACACAAGTGATTTTGTTTCCAATATGACTTTATACATGATTCTAGATTTGAAGCTTTCGTGACTGCAAGGATTCATATTCTTATGTTTTTTCGGTAAAGTCACGTAGGTAAAACATTAAAAAAGTAAAATAAAATAAAAATCACGACGTTTTGGAGGCAACACAAGCGTCCGTCCTTAGGTGGGACCGTCACAGCCACGACAGCTGTATCAAGTAAATGAGAGATTGCAGGAGCTACAATCTCTCATGACGGTCCCACCTGAGGACGGAAGCTTGTGTTGCCTCCGAAACGTCGTGATTTTTATTTTATTTTACTTTTTTAATGTTTTACCTACGTGATTTTACCGAAAAAACCTAAGAATATTTATACATGATTGTCAAATGCTGTTTACACATGTTTAATGAATCAATGAGAATAAAAGTCAGTGATTCAACATTCTTAACGAATACCCACCAGCTGAAACATGTCATTCTCAGTTGTGTGAAAATTGTGTGTCTTCTTTATTTCGTCTCAGCGTGTGTTCTCTCTCACGGAGAGGAATAACACTGGAGGTCCGTTGCTGTATGGCTGGCAGAAGACGCTTGGAAATTATCTGGCCCTGTCTGGGTACCTACAGCACTTGGGCTGGGAATAATCCCACCTGAATGAAATAAAACACAAACAACAAAGATACCTTATTCACACATTTCCACAGTCACCTTTGTAACAAACTGCTAACCCTGGGTTTTATGAGTGTGCTTGTATTTTTACATTTGTTTGCTATTCTGTGTGGCACCGTATCGCCTGTATATTTGAAAGGATTATAGTTGCCATACTGTAAACATGTTTAATAGTTGTTTATACTGTAAAGACATGTCAAAAGTATATATTTTTAGGTTAATATGGGTCAGTTTTCGAACACTTAATCATTATAAAGTTAGTCGTACTCTAAATTGCTATTCTTATTCAAAACCACATTTAATATATATTTCATTACAAATCATTGACAGAGTTAGGTTTTGCTCCTGTATTTGTCATAGATTAGGGTCACGAAAAAATAAGGTTTAAGCTATCTACATGACATGTGTTGATCAAATGCACTATTTTCCTCTTAGGTCAGAAAGTTCTGCCAAGATTTATGACCGGCATGGCCAGAAGATCGATTTGATCAACCTTCCCGGGTAAGAAGGGCTTGAAAAATAAAGTCTGTTAAAGTTGTGTTCATGTGTCACGTACTGATGTCATTATATACTGTGCCTTGTTAATGCTTTTACAGAAGGTGCTTGGGGTTTGACTGGGATAAAGATGGCGACACCCTTGCCTTGATTGCAGAGAAGTCGAGCAGCATTTACCTGTGGGATGCTAATACGCACAAAACCAGCCAGGTGGATAGTGGCATGAGGTGAGATAGCTTCATAATCCAGCATTGCTTAGACATAAGAGCGTCACTACATGTTGACCCCACATTTTGAAATATATATGGATACTTTGTAACTTAAGTATTAACGTTATTAAGACGTAGGTCTTCTTTTGTAATTCAACACCACACGAGTGATTTGCATCAATTTGGATTCCAATTAAGCATCTGCTCTCTACTGCAGGGACCAGATGACATTCTTGCGTTGGGGACGCTCCTCGGCCATGCTGGCTGTTGGCACAGCCAAGGGAAACTTGCTCCTTTACAACCATCAAACTTCACGCAAGATACCCATACTAGGTACGTGACCGCTGCTTGTGCATTGAAGTGTAACATTAGGAATTGCGAGCAAACTTACCTTCATTTTCGCAGTACAGAAATGCGTACCTTGTTATAATCACATGTAGAACATGTACCGGTAATTATCACTTATTGCTGTTTATCTTAGTCTTTTCTAAATTATTGCTGCATTAATAATGTATCGTAGATTGTACAGTATTTCATTCACAGTGAAGGTATAAACATTGGGATGAACCAAAAAATGTTTGCATTGTCACATGCTTCGTGTGCATTTCTCAGGTAAGCATACAAAACGCATAACATGCGGTTGCTGGAGCGCCCAAGACCTTCTGGCGCTTGGCAGTGAAGACAAATCCATTACTGTCAGCAACCCAGAGGGTGACACTATACGACAGGTAAGACACCTGTTATTTCAAAATTCATTGTCTCTCCTTGCTCCACATAATAATCAAATGTTTTGTTTGTGTATAGGTTTAGATTGTTAGTTTAGATCATTACTGGACTGAATGAGAAAGACACTTTGTAATAACTTAAAGATATCATCCTTAAATGTAGCCAAGAATAAAATTGTGGACATGATAGCAAAAGTGTCGAGCAATACTCTGTAATTTGAGATGATGGTATTATTTGCTTAAAACGAGTTGTCTAGCAAATGAACTTGTTTTTGTTAAAGAATAGTAACAACCAGCATTGTTTATGGTTTTATTTGTATTGCTAATATTGACTGAGCGTATGCTTTGGATGTGTGATATTTTAGAAGATTGTATTGTGGGCTTTGTTTTGCAGGCCAGCATCAGAGCAGACCCAAGCGAGATGCTTTTTTCTGTGATGAAAACTGACGAACGAAACAACTATGGAGAGAATACGGTCAGGCATAGATCCCATTTCAAATGTTTTAACCTGCATTGTAGTGGCCAGTTTCATAAAATATATTGATGGTATTCCTTATGTTGTCATTTAAAGTCATGCCCTTAAGGGGGAAAACGTATCACTTGAGTTGTTTAATGTATGTAGTCACAGAATCCAAACCTTCTAAGTGTTCAGCGCAAGACCGTGCATAGTAGGCTGCTTGCCTTATGCAATTAGGATAGAGTCATACAGCTGTAATCACAATGCAGCCTCTGGATAGAGTAATACAGCATTAACCAACAATGAATCAGCATGTGCTTCACATGGACATGAGCATAATTAGTTTCACAATTGCGCCATTATTTAACTGACTTGCTTTTTGGTTGATTTTCCCATTGAACAGGTGAGTCTTATGGTAGGAAAGAAGACCCTGTTTCTTTTTAATATGAACGATCCAGACAACCCAATTGAACTCGCTTTCCAGCAGCGATATGGAAGCATCGTCTCTTACCGCTGGTAAGGGTTTCTTTAAAGTCAGTAGATCACAGCACCTCACTACAGTGAAATTAATATTCTAGTGTGTACATGCAGAAAGCTCATTTTGCTTTGTTTCACCCCATATTTCAAACTAGAATTTTTTTTTAAGTTTATAAAATATGTTATTGTATGAAGTAATTTGAAATTATGTTATTGTTTTTGGTACCTCACATACAACTTTTGGGAAAACGCCCTTTTAAATCACACTGACAAAGTAACATCCTTTATTTAAAAAAGTAACAAAAAATACCTTTCATAAAGTAGGTAAAACATCAAAATTAATAAAAATAAATAAAATAAAACAAAAATCACGACGTTTCGGAGGCAACACAAGTCTTCGTCATCAGGTGGGACTTGTGTTGCCTCCGAAACGTCGTGATTTTTGTTTTATTTTATTTACTTTTATTACTTTTGATGTTTTACCTACGTGACTTTACCGAAAAAACCTAAGAATATGAATCCTTGCAGTCACGAAAGCTTCAAATCTAGAATTTCATAAACTACTTTCATTCTCACCTCAGGTATGGCGATGGTTACATCATGATTGGTTTCTCGCAAGGTTACTTTGTGGTGATCTCCACGCACATGCGAGAGATTGGCCAGGAGCTCTTTCAGGCTCACAACCACAAGGACAGCCTCACCAGTATTGCCATCTCGCAATCACTAGGCAAGGCGGCCTCCTGCGGAGACAACTGGTGAGTTTGTCCACTAAAAAGTGGAAACGAAACAGTACAGTGTTACTGGTAGGAACCTCCTGGTTACACTAGCCCACAGGGGATTATTGTGTCCGTCCGTCCGTCCGTCGTGCAGGGAGGGGCTGGGTGGGGAGGGGCTGGGTGGGGAGGGGGGGGCTGGGTGGGGGGTGGGGAGGGGGGGGCTGGGTGGGGGGTGGGAGGGGTGTGACTGGGTGGGGAGGGGCTGGTCACCCCGTGGTGCCCTTATAAAACTCAACGTTTAACCTACTCACGCCAGCTTGTGCCCGCCCTCACAGTCGGGCATATTTGCGGAATACACCACGCCGCCGTTGACCCTGGCCATTGACCGAGCAACCCAACGTTCTTACCAGCTCCCTCCGCAGGAATGTGTTTTGCAGTAACAGCATCATTGCATTAAACCGCTGTTACTGAGGTGTAGTTAGTTTCATTAAGTGAATAACCCCAGACACAAGGTATATTGTTGGCAATGTGCTACTTCAATATATGTGTACATATAAAAGACAAAGTTTCGTGATTAATTTGCGTTTTTGTTTTTATTATTGTTATCAGCATCAAGATTCATGACCTTTCAGAGCTCAAAGAGATGTATGCCATTATTACCCTCGATGATGAAATCAAAGGTATAACATTCTTAACATGTATTAAACGCAACACTGCAACACAGCTTGTATAGTAATAAAGCATACAATCTCTTGATGTTTACTAAGTACTTCTGATGCTATGTAAGCCAAACTTGCATTATTTAGAATATTACAAATAGAAAATATTGATGTTTAAAAAGGCTATGTAACAAATAATGTGTGTCTTGCTTCTGGATATTACTTTGTGTGCAATGGACCTGTATTGAAATTTCTAAATTCAGAGTTACGTATTGTCCAAAGTTAATTAAACCAATGCTTTTATTTTGAATGCCTATTTTTCAATAATCTTGGTGAAGTCTTCAGCAGGAATACATGGAGCACCAAAATCTGAAAATTCACTTAATTGGTTACTTCTGGACTTTGTCATTAATTACATCTCTACATCAATGTGTGTGCACGTGTACAAGGTCTGGACAAGCTGGCATGGACAGACGACGGGCAGCTACTGGCCATCTCCACCCTGCGTGGCTCGTTGCACGTGTTCCTTACCAAGCTGCCTGTGCTGGGGGACACATTTTCGACGCGAATTGCTTACCTCACCTCCCTGCTGGAGGTCACCATTGCCAACTCAGTGGAAGGGGTGAGGAGCCAATGCCAAACGTCTCACCAGTGGCCTCACACTGTTGTGTGTATTTATACATAATTGCAAGCAGTTGTATGACCCCAAGGTCAATCTTTGTTGGTCGCAGCCAGATTATCAGATCTCATTAATGTAGAGTTTCTTACTCCTAGCAATGCTTAGCCTGGTGCTATAAGGTAAAATAGTAGGTAGTTTCCTTTAGTGCAGTAGTAATTTATAATCAGGTTACATTTCAGTCCTGCTAAACATGGACTTTGGGGTTGAGTAGTGTTAAACCAATGAGACTGCAGTATGGAGCACACTTGAGATTGAAATGGTTGTCAGCTGTCCAGCACTGATAGAAATAGCATCATATCAGATAGCCTTTTTTCCAACAGTTGATAGTGAATAACTTAGGGCAGTCTTGGTGAGGTTAGAAATCATCTTGATAGACACATGTCATTTTTGTACAATGAAATGTCATTGTTGTACAATGAAATTCCAATAGCATTGAATAGTTTCAGGACATTTTTTTTCCCCGAGTCTTCGCAATAGAGGAGTGTGTTTATGTCCTTTATTCTCCATAACCAGGAGCCGCCCGTGACCGTTGCCATTGACGTGGAGCCCAATTTCATCGCGGTGGGGCCCTATCACCTGGCCGTGGGCATGAACAACCGGGCATGGGTGTATGCGCTCAGCGAGTCTGGTACGTTCACATTATTGCAGCCTCTGATAGTGCTCCGTCAGAATCAATGCCACACACATAATATGAGTAAACATTTTTTAAATTACTTATTAGGTTCATAGTCATCACCCAAAATGCACCCGATCTCTATCACATTTCAGTAGCTAAGGTGGCTTGAGCCTAGATAGTGTTTGGATGAGTGAACGCCACACACCAGGTTGTCATATGTAGCTGCAGGGCAGATGCATTGTTGCACTTCACTTTGCGCTCACAAATCTATGCTGCCCGCTTTCTCCAACCCGCAATGACTAACGTGGTGAAGTATGACCAAATAACCTCATGACCCACATGGTGTGGGGAGGTGCTCATCCAACAGTGGATTGACAAAAAGGGCTGTATATATAGCAATATCTTGCAATTAATTTACAATGTTATAGATTTTTGGCAATATTTTGGTCTGGGTTCCTTACTAAATAGTGACATTATTATTTCAATTGTACTTTTAAGTCACGTCTTTTCTGCAATGTAAATGGTCTAATGTAGCTCCAGATAGGAGATCGACTCAATAAGAGTATTTTTTATAACAGAAATGTTTTTCACATTTCATCTAATATGCAGTGTGGTCACAGTGCCATGGGCCAGATACCACCGGCAGCTACAACCCACATTCAGACGATGGTTAATATTGGTAGGATCCACCTGGTTCCACCAGCCCACAGGGGATTATGGTGTCCGTCCATCCGTCGTGCATCCAAAAATAGGAGGGGTGGGGAGGGGCTGGGTGGGGAGGGGCTGGGTGGGGAGGGTGGGTAGGGGCTGGGTGGGGAGGGGCTGGGTGGGAGGGTGGGGCTGGGTGGGGGGTGGGGCTGGGTGGGGAGGGGCCTGGTCACCCCGTGGTGCCCTTATGAAAACTCAACGTTTAACCTACTCACGCCGGCTTGTGCCCGCCCTCACAGTCGGCCATATTTGCGGAATACACCACGCCGCCGTTGACCCTGGCCATTGACCGAGCAACCCAATGTTCCTACCAGCTCCCTCCGCAGGAATGTGTTTGACACTGTATGTGTGGTACCTGTGCCTAGGTGCAGTGGAGCGGCTCAAGGACCGTGAGTACCTGGGCACAGTCAGCAGCATGCGTCTGAACGCTGACTACGCTGCCGCCCTGTTTGAGGGAAAGGTCCAACTGCACATGGTGAGTGCACTGCGGGAGTGACACTGCAGTGCCAGCTGTGCATTTAACTGACTCTAATTAGCACAACTAGCAATGTCAATTGGACTGCATCCTAAGAGGTGTTTTAATTCCCCCAAAACTTGGTATTGTCTGTCGTACTTTTTTTGTTTACTGTGATAGCAAAAAAGATTTTACCAGTTCCATACGGTACTATCATTAATTAAAATAGATTCGTATGCTCATGATACAGGTACAAAATTACATGTCTAAGAATCAATTTAGTATAATTTGTATATTTTAAATGTCTTTGTCAACGTATATGCATCCTATCCACATGTACACTCAGAGACAGAGAGAACAACACAATGATTATAGAACACATGAAAAGTATAGGAATCATTGAGTTCATAAAAATAAGTGGGCTTGCAGAGAACAAATAGCTTGAAAATCTTGTGGTCAGTGGTTTAGGTTGGCAGCCAAAGGCGAGAACAAAGAGGAAGACTACTGCAGAGATGGAGAGATGAGATCATCTCATGTATAGGAGGTCGATGGATTGTTGCATTCCAATACTTTGAAGAAGGGTGGCAACTTGAGGAGGCCAAGATAGGTTATATGTGAATGGTCGATATGACTTGCAGCCATTATATTCTGCACACTGCATTATTGATAAAAAAAAAGAATAATTCCTGAATTATGATTCTTAATTGTGATAGTTAATCAGAATGCAGGTAGAGGTGAATAATTATATTGCTACAGTGAATCGTACTTTCTATGGAGTTTTATTCAGTTATGCTTATATACATGTGAAGTACTCGCAAAAAACCTTGGTACTGCATACAGACTTGTGGTGAATGTATGTTGCGTGAAAGTATACACATGGGCTTCAGCTGAGAGTTTGAATGGAAGTATAGAGTTCTGGCAACGGAGCTTGCGTAGGTCTCAGAGCATTTGTGGAATAGCGAAGTTGTAACGAACCTGTGCTGATTTCAAGGTTGTTTTTGGTGATGCTAGATTGAAGCACAGGGTCCTGATGGCCAGGAAGAACGTGAGACACGGCTGTTTCCCAGCGGGGATGATCGAAGCCGTATTACATGTCACGCGCTGACCGCCGACTTCCTGATCTACGCCACAGATGTGAGCCGCAGGCTTGCACATACACAGACAGCAATGTTTGTGCACGTATGGGCATACACGTGCAAATCCTTCTTGAATAACACATTTTTTTAAGTGGGATATTTGCTATGAAATAGCCAAGAATGTTATGCAATGCTTATATTTTTGCTGAATATTCCTTTTCAATCTGCTTGTGAGGTTAACTTGTAGATTTTACTTATTTATTTGTGCCTCTATCTGTTATGTACAGGCCGGTGGTATATTTTACTTTTTTCTGGAGGACTGGCAGTTTGTAAACGAGTACAAGCACATGGTTGGTATCCGCAAGCTCTTTCCAGACACCAGTGGAACTCAGTTGATCATCATTGATGACAAAAGTGATGGCTACGTCTACAGCCCTGTGAGTAAATAATTTCAAGATGACACAACAGCAGATGCCTACGTTATTTTGTAGGGGCATTGTGTCTAATGGTCATTAAAAAATAAAAACTTCTTTAAAAAATATAAAAGTATGGCAAGCAGTACATTTTCATGTCCGGTCTTTAAATAGTTCATTGTCACATATACAATGCGATTACCACACGTTTGTTGGTTTAAAAACTAATGTATTAAAATTAGAGTATATTTTAAAAGAGTATTTGAATGCACTTCGGTGGAGGTGTTCTGTGATGTCTACAAAAATGTATTTGTGCTGGTCTTATTCAGGTCAATGACTCCCTGTTTGAGATCCCCAACCTATCACCCACCATCAAGGGCATCCTATGGGAAAATTTTCCCCTGGACCGTGGAGTCTTTGTAGCTTATGACGATGACAAAATATACACGTATGCCTACCACAAGGACACCATCGCAGGTACTTACAAACTAAAATTCACAGTTCACTTGAGTATCAATGAAGGAGCAATATATTTCTTGCAAAAATGTCGTCGTCCACTTTATTGAAGCACTTTTACCTGTAATTGAGACTCATAAAGTAGCAGGCATAATCTTAACCAATAGTTCTTCATTTAATGCCATCAGGTTCCAAAGTCATCTTGGCCGGCGGTACCAAGTTGCCCTTCTCACAGAAGCCCCTGCTGCTCTACAACGGAGAGCTGACGTGTCAGACTGGCAGCGGAAAGACCAACAACCTCCTGCTGGGCTCGCACGCCTTCCTGAGCCCCATGGTTGACAGGCCGCAGCCCGAGTGTGCCCGATTGCTTACCCAGAGTCTCATGCTGCGCAGGTTGATATTCCAACATGAAGATTCTCAGACACATGTGACATGCGCATACGTTTGATAAAAACATTTTAAAGTGATGTCCTTACCAGATTTGGAAATCAGGAACAACACGTTGTGCACTTTTGTTTTTTGCACTTGCTTTCGGTTAGGTTTAAGGATGCGTGGACGATATGTGAGCAACTGTCAGATTCGGCAGCTTGGAACGAGATGGCTCGTGCCAGCTTGTATCACATGGAGGTGGAGTTTGCCATCCGGGTGTACCGCATACTGTCCAACGGTGGAATGGTGCTAGCACTGGAGAATATCAAGGTTAGTGGTTTTAATGCAATTAAAAGTGGGACAGTAATAAAATATTACAAAGCCAGTGAATCAATTGCATGTTTTTTTTACCTGTAATGAATGGTTGTATTGTATGACTTCAGCAGTGCTGTTGTGTTCTCACCACTGTGATCAGGCAGTAGAGGATCACAATTTGCTGGCGGGACACCTAGCCATGCTAAGCGAAGATTTTAACCTCGCACAAGATCTTTTCCTGTCCTCCAGCAACCCGGTGGCTGCGTTAGAGGTACAGGGTAAAGTGGAGGAAATTAAGCTTTCCCATACATACACACATGTTGATAATTTCTCACCATAGATGTGTATGGTTTCTTATCTTAGAATTTATCTGATACGTTATATGCCACAAATTCCTGTAAGCTCGCACATTCTCTCGATTTGCACGTAAGGGATTCGATAGCCAGCACAAGATCTAAGTCTGCTTGATATGCTAGTTTGCATTCTTCTTTGGTCTCATGAAATACATTCACAGTTTACCAAGAAAACATGTTGAAATAGCAAGTGCATTACAAAGCTCTACAATCTGTATAGAACCCATAGGGACCTTTTATTCCACTTGAATAGATGATGTCATGCAATGAATATTCTTTCTTATTACTCTGTTATGTGCGCAGATGCGTAGGGATCTGCAGAATTGGGACAGTGCCCTTCAGCTGGCCAAGCGTCTGGCCCCAAACCAGATCCCCTTCATTTCAAAGGAGTATGCCATGCAGCTGGAGTTCACGTAAGTCCACAGATACTGACTTATTACTTGGCATCACTTTGCCTTAATTCTTTCAATCTGAAACAATGAAAAACTCTAAACATTCAATTTATGTTCCTTTTTGTACAGCGGAGACTACGTGAATGCTCTGGCACATTATGAGAAAGGAATAGTTAACGACAAAAATGTAAGTTTAACTTATTATTTAATTATCCCTGTTTATGATATAATTTTTTTACTGTGAAGTTACGTGGAATGCTAAATTACAGAAAAAAGTCGTTGATCAGCATTAAGTAGATGAGGACATAGTTGTAATGGGCAGCCAAAGTAATGAACATCAAAGCTGATACACAAGCACTATAGACTGCATCCTAAAGAATACAGTGTGTAAACCATGGCCTTTACTCAATAGTGTGTTGAGAATGGTTAACAATAACGATAATAAACTAAGCGGTGCCAGGAGGTCTTGGACTCACAACAAACCACGTATATCTCCACTACAAAGCAGTTGCAATTGTACATTGGCCCCAGCTAGTCATATTGCATGAGGATCAGGCTTTATAGACTGGCATCTGGCTACAGTCAATTTGGCAGGCCGATGCACCATTTTGTTATGCGCACCAACCCCTATTAGTGACTGCGGAGCTGCCCAACCAAACAGCAGTCCACATTGTCGAGGACTGCCCCTCATGGCAACTAGAGGCTTGATTGACAAGGTTATCGAACTGGATGACGTGGAAATTGAGTGGTTGAGTGATTTGGATATTGACCAGTGATGCAATAAGAAAATTCTAATAAGCTGTCCCTGACGGTCCCTGCTGCCAGTACGCGGAGCACGATGAGGCATGCCGGGCAGGTGTGGCGCGAATGGCTTTGCGCATGGGAGACATCCGACGTGGCGTCTCGCTAGCACTCAAACACTCGAGTCGCATCCTCAAGAGGGACTGTGCTGCCATCCTGGAGAGCATGAAGGTGGGGAGCTGTGGTAAATGTTAGCCAGTGGTATCAAATAAAAAAACCCAGTAAATTATTCAGATCTCGCTCACAAAAACATTCTATAATACAGTAGATCATAGCAGGATTATGTGGTGGTCAATGATTGGATTCTGCTATTTTTGTCAGCATTCCATTGTGAGGAGTATGCATATACACATAATGGCTTATTAATTAAAATTGATGCTTATGCACATGATACATGTATCAGATTGATACATGTGGGTGTAGTTATGGCCAAACTAAATCCCTTCTCTCTCTGAGTTCCATCTCCTGAATATAATTAAGATCTGCTTTTATAATCTTGTTGGCACAAATAAGTCCTATGTGTATAGACTGTAAGTAATACATAATCTGAACAGTTAATCTTTTTTTGCTTTTCTTGTAGCAATTCTCAGAAGCTGCTCAGCTCTATGAGAAGGGGCAATACCATGACAAGGCAGCATCGGTCTACATCCGCTCCAAAAACTGGTAAACAGCATTTAACTGCCCTTATTGAAAAACAAAAACACTGCAACTCTTTTCTCATTTACTCAACGCTGTGTGTGTGTGGTCAACGTGTAATTGACAATGATATTTCTGTGTCAGGGTCAAGGTGGGCGAGCTCTTGTCCCACGTTGCCTCTCCCAAAATCCACCTACAGTATGCCAAGGCCAAGGAGGCAGATGGCAGGTGAGGCAATTTGGACTATCACTGGCTGTCACTAACCACCAATCCTCTAGCTGACAATTTGCTCTATACATTCAGAAGGTGCAAAGGTTGTGTTGAATTCCAAGCTTGGTTTGTGTTGATTTCCTCTAGACATGTTTGTTTATCTGGACATGCTCATTGTTTCCTTCTGGGTTTTACATGGGTGTGACCTTTCATTCCTGCATTTTATTTTATTTCAGCTTTTGTGCATTTATTTATGTACTGATATTCATTCAGGCCTTAATTCCTGCCTATCACAGATGATTCAGACAGATTGTAAGGATACATGATCCATAGGCTGTATAAATGATTTGGTTATTTTTTGAAGGAATTTCACCCTGATTTGTTCCAAAAAGAGAGCATTGAAGGATGAACTAGGGCATTATGCAGCAGCAGTAACGCTTTGTGATCCAGTTTCTTCTCCCTGCAGTATTTTTTAACTGCTGGGCAGATATTCTTGAACCAATCAAGAAATCAGTTAGTAGTGACCCAAACCTTGTTATTGGAGTGCCAAATGACGGGAAGATGAGATTTGACGCAGTCTTTAAAAGCCTTTGGTGTTTCGGAGTAGTGCACAAGCAGTGGCTTATGCTTGCAATTGCCAGCTGCGTTGGCACCCACAAGCAGAGTGAGTCGGTCCTTAGACGCCTTGAAACCACTTGCTGTCTTTTCTTCTTTGGATAGGAATGTGCTTGTTGGCATTCAAAATAACTCAGTCTCATCTACGCTGAACACTTAATCTGGGTAGGAGCCACCTTCCTCAATAATCTCCTTTAAAGTATCCTCATGTGCCTCAGATGCTTTGGCATCGACACTCGCTGTCTCATCAGTCATATTGAGGGGATTGTAGCGCCTCTTAAATTTTGCAAACCACCCAGTACTAGGAACACATTTTCACACCCGCCACTGTCACCAGCTTTCTTCTTAAATGAGGATTGTGCTGAGTGGCATGTTGCCCTGATTCTGGTGTTCAATCCACATGCCCAACGACTCTTCCATATTTTCCATTAATGCACTGTATTTCCTCATAAGTTTTGCTGCATGTAGTGGCGTCATACTCTCTGCCCTGGCTTTAATGTTCTCAGTTCCTGTGTATATGAAAAATAATGGATGTAGTCAAGCCCAGAGCTTTTCTGATGTTAAAAACTTGTTCTCCACCTTCAAATCGCATTATTATATCCTTCATCTCGAGTGTAATGGCCTTCCTTCTTTGCTTTTGGAGTACCATTGCTATGCCCACTTACTGACCTTTTGGAACTCATGGTAGATGGGGTGGAGCGATAAGCAGCAAAGGAAATGCTAACAAAAGTTTGTCACTGGGGGAGCTCACACGACGAAGCACATGGGCACACGAACAGCTAGTAAGCAAACAGCTGCAGGCTGCCGTGTGCTGACTGCTGCCACGAGACGGATATCAATCGGTCTCCGATCTCTAAACAAACATTTTGCTCGTTTTGGGAAAAAAACGTGTCTAAATTCAAGTTGCTCGTTATAGTGAAATCTCGTAGAAAGAACGTTCGTTAAACGAGACTAGCATGTAGTTTATAAATGTGACTGCATCTTCATATGCTTTACAGAAATGGTAGGCATATCTATATTAAAGAGGCATTCAGTTATAGGCATTGGGAAAAAATTAGAAATTGAACTTGAACAGGGGCAGCAGGTCAACAGCATGGATGGCTGGGAGTTCCAGACCATGGGGGAACACGGGAGAATGAGTGACCTTGTACTGAGTGAAGGTTGACAGCGAGCTTTGACAGTGAGCCTTGGTTTCTTGAGCGAAGAGGCTGTGGTGGGGAGTAGAATGATATGAGAGGAAATACATATGCAAGAGTAAGTTTGTCAAGGATTTTTAAGATGGTGGGGGTGATCTTAAAATTGAGGGTCTCAGCAGCATCTGCAGTAATGAAGAGTAATCATTGCATTTAATATAGCTTCATTCATGCAATTGCATCCCACAACGCTGCACATTAATTATCCAGTTCCATGCAAAAAAGAAAACCCCACTACTTAGAAAAAATAATGATACATAAATAATGAGAAAAAAATGCATGTGACAAGAAAAAATAATCGCAGATAAAATAAATACAAATGTAAGATGTGGGAGATGTTGTGCAGATGGAGATATAATGTCTCGCAGAGCTTATATAGGGGAGAAGGCGAGCTCTGGATCAAACACATTTCTAAGGTTTTTCACACTCTTTGCCAGTGTAATGTCAGAGTTCAGGAGATGTATGCTTAGAAGAGAGTCTTTGCTTTTTGCTGGTGAGGAGTACTTATGTTTTTGGCAACATTTAGCTGTAAAGAATAAGAAAAGATTTAAGATGACACTGCGTCAAGGCAGGATGCGAGTGTTGACAGTAAGGTTGGGTTCATGGAGGCAATAGCGATAATGTATACTTGGGTCTCATCAGCATCAAAGTGATTGTTGACATTACAACTGTAGAACATTTGCCAAGAGGGAGATGTATAGAGAAGAGCAAAGGGGTGGCTGAGGATTCACCCCCACACATCCTGTGTCTCGGGGTCATGGGGTGCAGGTACAAAGAGGCAGCACTGGCCTACGAGAATGCCAAGGACTACGACGCCATGATCCGCGTGCTGCTCGACCACCTCAACAGCCCTGAGGAAGCCGTGCGTGTCGTGCGCGAGACCCAGTCCATCGAGGGTGCCAAGATGGTCGCAAGGTATCGTGATACAGCACCTGTGAATGCTCATACAGTATTTCAACATCTCCCATTTCCCCCTCCATCATTGTTCTGATTTCTGTTGTGCTTTTGAACCTTGAGTTTCAATATTAGCATAAATGTATGAACATGTACTTACATTTCTAAGGACAGGAATATACTATATGAAACTATTAATCAAACCTTATATTCCATGAGGGTCCTGATTAGTTTTCATAATCTAGTAACCAAATGCAATAAAACAATCATAAGATTAAAACATACCATAATCTATTAATATCAATACTAATTAAGTCCATACAAAAGACATTCAAGATAGTGATGCAGACTTAAACATTATCAATGTTAATGATCTCCGAGTGAGTTACTGTAATCAGGCACAATCTGATCATTTCAAAGAGTTTAGTAATAGTGTTTGCACGCACAAAGGAATGGACACTTAATGCACACATGTTATTGTTGGACTGAGCTCGTGCATATATGGTCACAGGTTCTTCCTGCGTCTGAGCGATTATGGTTCTGCAATCCAGTTCCTGGTCATGTCCAAGTGCAACAACGAGGCGTTCCAGCTGGCCCAGCAACACCAGCAGATGGAGGTGTACGCCAACATCATTGGTAGGCAACGGTCCTTCCTCAAGCTTAGCCCAAGGCATAGATGTGTCTCATTACTGCGAGTCGGTGTTCTATGATAAGATGTCACCCTTTGACATTGAAATTGATCACATACAAACACATTGGGGTATACATTGAGACTTAGTGTGATTTTACTAATGAAAAAAATATGCAGTTAAAATAAATTGATAGATATACAGGATGTGTATGTTTAGTTGCTGTGACACTTATCTTAAGCATTGATATATTTTTTCTGTAATTCTTTATAAAATAGCACAGAAGTTAATCAGATTTTTTTTTGCTGTTTTCAGGTGCGGATGCCACTCCTGAGGACTACCAAAGCATTGCAATGCATTTTGAGAATGAGAAGAAACACTTTCTGGCTGGGAAGTTTTTTCTGTTGTGCCAGCAATATTCAAAGGTATATTTTTGGGGACATGATGTGTATTAAGATGCCTTTAAAAAGTTGTTATTTTTTTAAAAGTAATATTTTATATTGTAAAAATAAATCTTAATATTTTATCATACAACAGACAGTTGTTAGTTATTGAAACTTCATTTGAGCTATATTTTTCGTGCACACACTACTGTGTGTTAGCCATATCTCCACCAGCCGTTGCTGATGTATTAACAGGCATTTGCTCTGTTACAGGCGCTGAAGCACTTTCTGCTTTGTCAGGGAGCAGATAATGGCCAAGCTATTGACATGGCCATTGAAACGGTAATTATCTGTAGGTGCATTGACACATTTCTTGTCTTTCTAGTTTTGGTTTTATTCGCAAGTAAATTTTACCCAAAACATGAATTGTAATGTAGTTTAACTTATTAGTGTACTTGATATAAAAAAGACACGAATTCCACATTGTTTTTAATTCTCGAAAATCATTGTATTTATGGTTTAGTTTATAGGGGTGCTTATCTTTGTGGCACTTGTGTAGTGTTCACAAAATTAAACGATGCCTTTAGTTGTGGTTTACTTATGGAGACACAATTAAATAGACTAGAAAAGAGAAAGATATTGATTTTCTGCTTAACTCTCCCCCAAGGTTGGCAGGGCCAAGGATATGATGCTGACAAATCAGCTCATTGATCATCTCATGGGAGAGACGGACGGGATGCCAAAGGTAAAACTCGTTCTGCATCGATTCCCTTCGATGGTTAAGAGCAGTGGCTGTCAATCATTGGATATTCGTGTTAGATGCGGCTCGCTAAATGATCTGTATGGTGCATGAAAATAAAAAAACCTCCACCCTTCCACATTTATTTAGTCTTCCACAGTGACACTAGCATATTGGTAAAGGCTCTTAGACTATTACATCTTTGTCTCGTTGTATTGCTTAGCTTTCTAACGTTTCCATACTGTGTTGATACAATAAGTGTTTCGTGTTCTCACCAGTTTTCTTTTGTGTTGGTTGTTTTTCCATTCCCTTGTGATCTGTTTGCATTGTCCGCTTGCCACATTGACCTGTGTTCTTCTTTGCACCATGCTGCTTTTTAATCAATGCCTTGCGGTGAGTACCGCCTTGTGCCGACCAAACTGCATCAGAGCAGCACGGTCCACTGAACAGAACTTGCTCTAATTGGTAGCTCAGTGATTCTCTCTTCGTGACTAACTTTGCTTCTATCCAAACGAGCTCTCATGCGACTTGATAGAAATAGTATATTAATATGACCCACTAATGTTTAGAGTGCATGTGGACAAAATAACACATCTCATTTTAAGGAAAACACAACTCAAAAATATGCTCCTGTAGATGCACAACTAATTTGTGTGACCTTGAGTGTCCGACACTCGTTTGAAGCTGAATAAGAGCAATACACTTTAAATGTAGGTACTCCTTCGGAGCATTGTCTGGTGGCATTGTATTAAAATGCTCGGGAGTGAGCACAGATAAGTAACTAGTGTGCTATTTTGCCATATTTAGTTGCTTGGCTCTTAACTTTAAAGTTAATTTTTTGAGTAACAAAGCTTCAATAATGTGTCAGACTGTACAGAGTACATAGCCTCGGTACATATCTGCAAGATTAGGTCTGTTTGTTTTTGAGTTGTCTTTCTACATTTGAAAGAACAATTATCAGCCAAGTTAAATATTTAAATTAAGGGTGTTTTTATTACTCCCAATATATATCCAGGATGCACAACTTGGTTAATAAAAACATTGCAGGATTGGTAAATAATAATTATAATTTGAATAGCTTATCGCATATTTATTTCAAAAACTATTTGTTAGCTACTTTGAAAATCTGTAATGGCTTATGTTTCAAATGTGGAATCAAAAAGCATGTTTGAGGGAGGTAAAGTTAACATTTCTTGTAGATGGTGGGGTGACTCGATAAATTAATGGGCATGTCAGTGCACTCATCTTCCTACTCTGAGAACTTGAGTTAAATTCCAGGTTTCAGCCACCTGTGTTTAAACCAGTCAACAATGAATGCAGAATACCCCACATTAACTTTGTTCTTTTACTTAATTCGACATATTCCTAGCTCTGAGAAAAACATTTGATTGTCATGCAACAAAGGATATATGAAAAGATGCAATTCCTAGTGTTGATTCGAGGCAATTCAAGGGAGTAGTTTTGTGGCGTCATCTTTCATGGGCCATTCTCTGACGCCAGGTGATGCTACTTTTGGTTAAAGCAGTTCCAAATGGAAATGTAGTCTTCTCGTGATCTGACACCATCTCGTGCGTAGTGGAATATAATTGGGAGAAAATGGTGAGAAAAATGTCCACATTGCCATAGAAGGTTGTGCTGTCTGGATTGTTCTGGGCATTCAGCACCGTCGGTACTCATGTGTGCCGTGCATTCCTTTTAAATGCCCCAGGACGCCAAGTACCTATTCCGGCTCTACATGGCACTCAAGCAGTACCACGAGGCAGCACGCACAGCAATCATCATCGCCCGCGAGGAACAGGCTGCTGGTGCGAGCACAGGCCATGCGCGAAGGCTGGCACAAGCTGCTCTGCTAGAGCACTATTGTTATTTTATAATTTCAATTGAGCTTAGCTCGCCATTCTAAATACAGTGCAGGTATCCCTCGATTTACGAAAGGGATGCGTTCTTCAAAAAACACGTGTAAAATAATTTGTAAATAAATAGCTTTTCCCATTTATTTAATACATTCCAACTCTACTCCTAACCTAAAAATATACAACGATTTCACTATTCACAGTACAAAATAATGAAGAACATGAATATAAAAACCATTAAACAATAATTAATTGAAACTACAAATAATGAACTTTTTCAGGCAAGTCACCAAGATCTGCATGTTGGAATGACTGGAAAAGTTATTTGGAGACGTTACTATTGCGCTGCAGGGATACTGTGACGCTGTCAAGGATGGATGACGCAGCCTCCTGGGTGCTTATTTGATCTCATGGCACATGCCATGTGAAACTTTGGTCACACTGGAAATTCTATTTTGTTCATAGACATTTTTGTTTCCATAATTTGTCAATTGTGTAAATGCGAACTGAACGTTCGTAAATCAGGAGATAATTCTACATGTATACAGACAAATATGTACTCTGCAAGAATATATCATAATATCCTTAATCCAGAAACAAGTATCATGACTAGTATTCCACCTAAGCCAGCCCTTGATGTATGTAGTTTGTTAAATTGGAAAGCACTGCTCAGCATTCACATACGCCGGTTGCTTGTACAACAGGGAACTATCGAAGCGCGCATGACATGCTGTTCAGCATGTATGTGGAGCTGAAAGCGCAGCAGATCCGCGTCCCCGCCGAGATGGCCACCAATCTCATGATTCTGCACAGCTACGTGCTGGTTAAGGTATGGGCCCCATCGTCACTTACTCAATATGCATCATTAAAATTGTCACACTGAACACTTGCATGCTTTTCTATTTCAACAGCACCAGGCTGCATTCTTTTATTTCAATAGTTCAATAAAGTTCAGCATCGGCATAATCAATTCCAATTCACCATTAAATACAGGCCACAGCAGTTACTGTAGTTTTCCCCATTAAATCTGAGTAGCATACATTCAAATGATCTCTTCAAATTGGTTTACATTTTACTGTGGTCATTCCATGTGAGATGTGTTCAAAAAAATTTTGCCACTTCCAGTTTTGAGTTGTGCATAATTTCCACAAGAATACTCAGCAATAATGACATGTTATAATGTGTACAAAATGTCGCTGTTCCTGTTAATGCAAACCACTCGTTCTGCCCTGGTGTCCACTGATTACTTGTACAGATGCATGTGCGACGTGGCGACCACATGAAGGGAGCCCGCATGCTTATCAGGGTGGCCAACAACATCAGCAGGTTTCCATCTCGTGAGTCGCTACGCCTAGAGAGGCTGCTGCTTAATATACATGAGCAGTCAAGGATGTAAAAAGACTTATACTGAATAATTTATCATCGCAAACTATGATTGTGTTTTTATGGACATTGGTTACACAATTGTTCAGTGGTTATATGTGTGATGCAATATTAAATAAAGTATAAATACCAGTTATTTTAAAGCAGTATTGTCTATAGAAAGCATTTCACCTGCATACAGCACAGGCATGGGTCAAAGTTCATGTGAAAAATTAAGCTGAAATGTAACCACACGTGTATGTTTTATGCTCATTCAAGTTTCTGTGATTGTCTCACCTGTGCTTCATCATGCCTGCGAGCAGACATTGTGCAGATTTTGACGTCGACCGTGATTGAGTGTCACCGCGCGGGCCTCAAGAACTCCTCCTTCAGCTACGCAGCCATGCTCATGCGGCCTGAGTACCGTGGAAAGATTGACCCCAAGTACAAGAAGAAAATTGAGGCCATCGTCAGGTCAGCTTCATGCCAATCTCTCATTCTTCACAAAAAATGATCGATATCATCATGAGCTATTGTCTATGAACTACGACTGAATGAAGGTTCTCCAAGCTATCACTATCCCTCACGGTACAGTGCTACTTCCAGCCATGTCACTCCTGCACTCCATTTCAGCGGTGGCCGTCATTGGACATGATCTCTCATTTGGTTGACATTCCAGTGTTGTTCGGCCATCATTCTTTCTTACGATTTGTCATCCCCAAGCCTATTTACCGTTCTTAATTGTCAGTTGTGTTTGTTTCCTGATCTATGTGTTGCTTTTTCGACTCTCTGGTGTGACATTAACAGTTTAAATGCCTTTACATTAACAGGTTAAATGTCTCACTAACACAGCCACCGTTGCTCGTTTTCCTTGATGTGGCGGTGGCTCTCCGATCTTACATTTCCATGCAAATTTCTTCACTAGTCCCGCCCACTTTGCTTATGACCCTTGGGCTACACACATCTCAAACCTTTATAACATCCTGCCTCAGCAGCTCTCTCGCTATTTTTTCACCTGATGACGATTGCTTGCGTTGCGATCGAAACGTTGTGATATTTTTATTATTTTTTCTATCTACGTGGCTCTACCGAAAGACCCAAAGAAAATTAATTCCTGCAGTCACGAAAGTTTTAAGTCGTGATTTTCATTATTTTTTGTGCAATAACAAGAAAAAACTTTAACTATATAAAATATATTGGCTTGATTCCTACCTTTGTTAAAAGGCGTTATTTTAAATTGTTTCGAGAAAAGGTTTAACTTTGATGGTCCATATGTAAGGTAATTATTTTAAAATTTAGTTTGATTTCTTATACAGTACATTTGTTTTTGTTGTTGTTGGCCAACATGATCTGGCTAAATGCAAAATCCGGCTAAGAGTATATTTACTGTATTATGTTTTAATTGTGTGCTTATTATTATTATTTGTCATCCCTTATCCCTGTGTGGATGCAAAGGAGGCCAGACACATCAGAGGCAGAGGAACCATCAAGCCGATGCCCATTCTGCAGCTTTGAGTTGCCTGAGTGTGAACTGGTGTGCCCCGAATGCAAGAACACGCTGCCCTACTGCATCGCCACGGTGAGCAAACAACATGTTAGTGATCATGGTCATATCAATGCACACTCCCTTTAACTGTGAACAGTACTTGTAGACCATTCTGAAAGGTTAGCTATTTTTTTATATTCTTGTGATTAAAGTTTCTTATAAATTTGACTTTACTCTTAAAAAAAGAGCCAACTAAATTTTAATCGTGCCATTTTAGTTCCGTCTCATTCCCTTTAATCAAAGTTATCAGGGTTAACCTGCTGCCCTAACATTGAAAATGCAGTATTTAAACAGGTGATTCTCAATCAACTTCTCTTTGGGCTGAATTGCATGCAGGGGCGTCACCTGGACAAGGATGACTGGGGTATCTGCCCCCACTGCAGTTTTCCAGCACTGTATTCTGAATTCAAGAGGTGAGGCTCACTGTGGGATGAAAAAAAATCCCTTCTACTTGCAGCCATGTTATCATCACCACCACACAAAACACATTCCTGTGGAGGGAGCTGGTAGGAAAGTTGGGTTGCTCGGTCAATGGCCAGGGTCAACGGCGGCGTGGTGTATTCCGCAAATATGGCCGACTGTTAGGGCAGGCACAAGCTGGCGTGAGTAGGTTAAACGTTGAGTTTTATAAGGGCACCACGGGGTGACCAGCCCCCCTGACCTAGCCCCTCCCCACCCTCCCCACCCAGCCCCTCCCCACCCTCCCCACCCAGCCCCTCCCCACCCAGCCCCACTCTCCCCACCCAGTTCCTCCCCACCCTCCCCTCCCCACCCAGCCCCTCCTTGCACGACGGACGGATGGACACAATAATCCCCTGTGGGCTGGTGGAACCAGGTGTTTCCTACCAGTATGAATACTGATTTAGCTGCGTTTGTGAGGACTGTTCATGAATACATTTACAGTTGCTGATTTGATTCTTTTGAATATTACAGTTTACTTGAAAGTGAGAGCACCTGCCCAATGTGTTCGGAAAAGGTTGGTGCGGAGCAGATCAAGAAGATAGAGGATCCGAGTGGCTACCTGCGTCCCGATGATGTGGAGGATTGAATTTCTTGATAATTTTGAAATGCCAAGCAATTGTGAAGTGTAATTATTTGTTAATATCAGACACTGTCATTTTACACGTGTGCATTGTGAACACCTTAAAATGTAATTCAGTCGAGCTATGTACATTTAATGCAATGTGATTTTTTTTAACGTGTACCTTACAAAAAAACCTTTATATTCAGACCATGCATAATGATTTGTAGTGTGCAAATGTTGTACAAAATATAATTATTTTAAGCACTATGACATCTTTGCTCATTTATTGATCTTCTCTTTGTTTCCATAAGAACATTTTCATATTCTCAAAAGGTAAGTTTCGTTTATGTCCATAAGCCATATGAAAGCCTACTGACAAGTATTTTACAAGACAATCTTGGAATAACAGGGTAAATGTAGGTGTAAGGCAAACAGTGCACACCCTTTTGTGTTATAACAAATGCCTCCACCAATTCTGAAGACTCAATTTCAGGAGGTTACTGCTAGGGACTTGTAGTGATTGTCAAGTTTTCCTCGTGACTGCATGAGACTAATGTGAGTGGGGGGTAGAAGGAGAGTTAGTACGAGGCAATTGTTCAGGTTCTGTCATAACCTTAATGGGGTAAAATTGCTGTATTCCCTTTACAAAAGTAATTTTTCACACGGAGTGGGAATTTATTGTATGTCAGACCCTGGAAGGACACATGCTCCTGAAGTAGTGCCTTGTGAAGTAACTTTGAGCTCCTCAAGGTGGACTGGGAACTTGCTGTGTTGTCTCGTCTGATTTGGGTCGGTCTTGTTTTGTCTCATTGGCTTTAATCTTTTTTGTATTCTGTATTGTAGTCTGTGCGGCCTCATTCTGTGTCGTCTGTGCCGGTATCCTCACTACTCATGCTGTCTCATGTTATCTGTACGGTTTAATTTGTATTGTGTGTACTCCTGCACTCTCATATGTCTGTCTCCACTATACTGTCTTTGTACTGCATAGAATTAGAATGAATAAACAAAATAAGTCTGTTAAGTTTTGGGGGTGTGGGTCAGGAACATGTGCTTGTGTGAGAGTTGTGTGCATATGGGTATGAGGGTAGGGGTGGCAGTAAAGACATGTATATGTGTGAGAGTTGCACATGGACAACACATGATGACCAACTGAAAATAATTCCAACATCAGATTTGATGCATGTATTGTGCGTGTAAGGATCAATTCTAATGACAGGCAGCCAAATTAGAAAGTGCTCAAGATGCCGGTAATTCACCATGAAGATGTAGGAATGAAATTCGTTTCTGTGCAGGTGATGAGTAGATTGTTGTGTTGCAGTACTGAGAGATGGTGTGAAGTCAGTGGATAAATCATTATGAATTGTCATTTAATCAGCTTTCATTTTTGTAAATAGTTTATATTTTTTTAATTTAGATTTTGGTTTGTGAGGTCAAATATTGTTTCACCCCCCATCCACAACACCCACGTCACTAACCTGCACCGATCAGCGTGAAGTAAGCTAAAACCCCAATGATTTACATGGCGTCGGGAGTCCACCCATTGGTTCAGTTTCATTTATTAGGTAAAACCCTGTGAGCCATGCGGCTCTTGACTCGGGTGCAACCGCAACAAAACAAAAACATGAACAAGAAACATCTTAAAGTGACTATACGCAACAGAAAAATCCTGGAAAAAACAGCAAAGTCTTGCAGCAGGAATGTATCTATTAATCGATTTTCAGAATCAGAATCTTTATCCTGGAGGAATCCTATGTGCTACGAAGCTCTTCACAGATGTCCAGTAGGGACGGGTCAGAAAGTTACAGCAAACAATACAATAACGATCGGAGTGAAAAATAGACAAAAGGTAAGCAAGTCACGAAAAAAAGACAGTATAATAGTACAAATTGCATGCCGATTTTTCTACACGAAATGCAAGATTGGGCAAGGCAGCAAGACAACAAAACAATCCCAGACCACACAAGATAACACACGGTCCCAACATCTCTTTCCTTAATTTCTGTACGTAGTTAAACCTGTTTTGCTTTCGTGATTTTGGTGACCCCTGACTTATATGATGGCAAGGCCTCGGATCAACTCTGCAAGCGCCGCGACTCCCCCCTGGCCCCCACACTGAGCACACACCCGCAGGGCACACACGTAGTGTGCTGGCGGGGGATTGCCTGGCACAACGGGTTTTCATTCGAAGGGTCCCTAGGAGGAAAGTCCCGCGGTTTCCCGGTGCTAGGAATTCGGCCGACCCTCACATTGCAGTGCTCCTGAGTTGACTGACTGCAGGGATCCATATTCTTTGGTTCTTTCGGTAAAGTCACGTAGGTATAAAATCAATTAAAAATCACGACGTTTCGATTGCAACACAAGCAATCATTTTATTTTATACCTACGTGACTTTACCGAATAAACCAAAGAGTATTAATTTATTATGTTTAACACGTAGGCTTTCACGACCAATATTATCCATAATACTGTTTTTGTGGGTTAGATCGCGTAAATATAAATGTGTCGTTAACCCACCACCACCCGACACAGCCATTTAGTACAGTTTGACACATACAAACAAAAACGTGCCAATCAGTTACTACTTCAGCACACCAGTGACAGGAACAGATGGAGATATCTCATTGTAGCCTCATGTCCCGTAGGGGATGAAGAGGAGTAAGTCGGCACACCGGTTACATGTTGCTGAGAGTAAGAGGCCATTCATTGAGTAGGTACGCAAAAATCTGTTAAAACTTGACCCCTACCCCCACTCCCTGTACGCACGCGGACTCTTTAGACCCCCCCCACCCCCCCGAATCCTATAGAACGGCCGATATTTAATCCACGCAGAAACGATCAAGGATACTCTTATATAAGCGCACAACTTTATCTGTGATGAACGCAGCACTTTCTGTCGTTTTCATGCAGGGGGCGCTGCAAACCTACGCGCCCCCTGCATGAACGATGAAGGCGCACGGACAGAGGTTCGATTACGTTGTAATCGATCTGCAGAAGGCGGTCTTCTCGCATGGCCAGCTCTGTATAGCCTTATCTCGATCCCGCAATCCCCAACAGGTGAAAGTCCGCATCGAACCGAACCCCCAGCAAGGCCATCTACTTTACGACGAGAGAAAATTCACACGAAATGTCGTTTTCAATGAAGTCTTCCAGGTGTAAAATAATATAAGATTTTAATGAAGAAATAAAATGATCTAATTCAAAACAATGCAATTCAAATATGTTTCATTTTAAAACTTCAAAACGGAGCATCGGGTGCTTGCGTGAATGCGTCGTTCGTGTGCGATTGTTTTTGTGAGTTTCCTGGCCGAAGGCCGTCAATGGTTAATCATATTAACGTGTTTAAGCAAACAGGTAGTCCACCGCCGGACTATCTAACTCATTTGAAGGCTAATGTAGATAAATTATTATCGAGGCTTCACTCCCCCCCCCACCCGTTTCCTATACGTACGTACATTGTCAGTAGACCCCCCATACGCAAGCGTACGCATTTAGGTTAACCCCCTCCCCCCTCCATGCGTACGGACTAAATGGGTGGCCCCCTTTGCCAATCAAGCGACCCATGGGGGGGGAGCGTGGCTTACCACGAGGGGCGTGGCTTACCGCGATGGGGCGTGGTCATACGGGAGTGGGCGTGGCTTAACGCGAAGGGGCGTGGCCCTACGGGGATGGGCGTGGCTATACGGGATGGGCGTGGCCCTACGGGGGTGGGGGCGTGGCCCTACGGGGGGGTGGGCGTGGCTCAGCAGCGAGTGGGGGCGTGGCCCGACGGGGGTGGGCGTGGCCATACAGGATGGGCGTAGCCCTACGGGGGATGGGCGTGGCCCTACGGGGGGTGGGCGTGGCTCAGCAGCGATTGGGGGCGTGGCTCGTGGCGTGTCTATCCGGGTATTTTCACGCCGCCCTACGTGGCGCGTGGCCGTGATCGAGAAGAGCGGCCGACGCCTCCTTCCTTCATCCTCGTCCTCTTCGTCACCCCTCGTCGCGATTTCTCTCGCTCGCTCGCCGTCTCTTCTCTGAAAGTTCACGACCACCAAGGTAAACGTGACGGCGACGACGACAGCAGCAGCAGTAGCACAGAGACACGACGCTATAAGGCACGCGATTTACTCGCTAAGGTCGCCAGCAGCAGCCGTCGTCGTTGTTGTTGTCGGGGTTTGTTTTGGCGAGGCGAGCCAGAGGGCCCGTGGGCCCGTGGGGCCCTCCTTGACATCGCTGTTAACTCGCGTCTCGTGGTCACCCTACTTGTACTGTAATAGCCGGCGATTCTTTTATCGTGGAAACAACATTTAGGCGGCGCTTTTAACCACCACACCACCACCACCCCCCCCTCTCAAATCGTCGTCGTTTGGGGTTTGTCAGGGAGGGTTGCGGTGAATTTGTGTCCCCAGAGCTCGGCCCTGGACAGCGCCGGCTTAAATTAAGCCTTGCTACTCACACTGTTGTATGTACGGTGTGTTCAACTTCTGTTCGCACCGTACGTAGGCTAACCGTGCTGGTCGGAGGGGCAGATGTAAGATTAGTAGCAATGCTGATTAGTAATGGTTAAGATGGCAAGTGGAGTCTATGTTGATTGTTTAGTACTGCTGTGCCCCCCATCCTCGCCGGCTAACATTATCATTGTAGTAATAGTGATTGTATAGATAACATTATCATTGTAGTAATAGTGATTGTATAGTTAACATTATCATTGTAGTAATAGTGATTGTATAGATAACATTATCATTGTAGTAATAGTGATTGTATAGTTAACATTATCATTGTAGTAATAGTGATTGTATAGATAACATTATCATTGTAGTAATAGTGATTGTATAGTTAACATTATCATTGTAGTAATAGTGATTGTATAGTTAACATTATCATTGTAGTAATAGTGATTGTATAGTTAACATTATCATTGTAGTAATAGTGATTGTATAGTTAACATTATCATTGTAGTAATAGTGATTGTATAGTTAACATTATCATTGTAGTAATAGTGATTGTATAGTTAACATTATCATTGTAGTAATAGTGATTGTATAGTTAACATTATCATTGTAGTAATAGTGATTGTATAGATAACATTATCATTGTAGTAATAGTGATTGTATAGTTAACATTATCATTGTAGTAATAGTGATTGTATAGTTAACATTATCATTGTAGTAATAGTGATTGTATAGTTAACATTATCATTGTAGTAATAGTGATTGTATAGTTAACATTATCATTGTAGTAATAGTGATTGTATAGTTAACATTATCATTGTAGTAATAGTGATTGTATAGTTAACATTATCATTGTAGTAATAGTGATTGTATAGTTAACATTATCATTGTAGTAATAGTGATTGTATAGTTAACATTATCATTGTAGTAATAGTGATTGTATAGTTAACATTATCATTGTAGTAATAGTGATTGTATAGTTAACATTATCATTGTAGTAATAGTGATTGTATAGTTAGCATTATCATTGTAGTAATAGTGATTGTATAGTTAACATCATTGTAGTAATAGTGATTGTATATTTAACATTATCATTGTAGTAATAGTGATTGTATAGTTAACATTATCATTGTAGTAATAGTGATTGTATAGTTAGCATTATCATAGTAGTAATAGTGATTGTATATTTAACATTTTCATTGTAGTAATAGTGATTGTATAGTTAACATTATCATTGTAGTAATAGTGATTGTATAGTTAACATCATTGTAGTAATAGTGATTGTATAGATAACATCATTGTAGTAATAGTGATTGTATAGATAACATCATTGTAGTAATAGTGATTGTATAGATAACATGATCATTGTAGTAATAGTGATTGTATAGATAACATGATCATTGTAGTAATAGTGATTGTATAGTTAACATTATCATAGTAGTAATAGTGATTGTATAGATAACATCATTGTAGTAATAGTGATTGTATAGATAACATGATCATTGTAGTAATAGTGATTGTATAGATAACATTATCATTGTAGTAATAGTGATTGTATAGATAACATTATCATTGTAGTAAGTGATTGTATTGTTAATTGTTATCGTTGCCCTCCCCCACGCATCTCCTGATTAGCATGGTTGGCTACATACAGTGCGAAATAAGTTCAACATACTGTACATAATCTGTCAACCCCTTTTCATAAACACCAAAAAATAAAATAGTGTCCGTATTGAAACGGATGTACGCCGTATGGACATGAAATCGCAATTTCCCTGTACAAGAATACAGGTTAACCGTATGTGTTGATAGCCATGAAACTGATACAAAAAAATCGATATCGTATCTCAACAAGCGAAAGCAGGGTTGAACCCGGATCGTGCCCGGGTGAATGGTAACCCACGCATGTTTGACAGGTGCTATAGGCTGTAGAATGCGCGGTGGACAGCAGAGGGCAGTGCAATAATAGTGTTCTATACACAACTTTATCAACTCACAATGACCAGCGTGGGTCAAGTATATGGCCAAACCACCCCCCCCACACACACACAATTCGTACAGCGTGGGTAGGCCCTCATCCAGCAGCGGAGTGGCCAAAATCCCGTCTGTTACATTTGCACAATAGTAACATTCGCAAGCGCGTGTTGCCAAAATGTGTTACTGCTATGAAAAGGAAGATGCGCTTCTGAACCAAAACGAGCTTGGAAGCGTCGCAGGCCAACGAGATTGGAGAAAAAAATACTAAAAAGTAGTTAGTCTTAATTGTGTATCCAAAAAGATAAGATGGTTTGAAAAAAATTGATGAAAAAATGACCCTTTTGAGCTTATAAATAGACGTCACTGCGAGACTTTAAGTTCAAGTATTTGTTTTTGGGATTCTTGTTGGCTTTCAGAAGTCGCCCAAGGCTCATTTGGTCAGAAGTTAAAGACTTCAGCGCCCCCCTTAGCTAATGACGCACGCGTGGGTTCCATTTGACATTGAGCCCAAACAAAATATATATTTGCGATGCACAATGATTCATAGTTATCTTATTTATCCCGTAATGCCTCGCCCTCAAGTCTTATTTTTTTGAAGAGGGGGTCATGCGTTGGTATACAGCGTACATCTCAGACATCCTGGGAGGTATTGTGGAGATATTGCCATAGGCACATACATAGCGAAGAGAGACATACGTTTACATTTCAATATCTTTAGGTTTCATTAAAAACATAGTTCTGAACATGAAACTTGATTTTGTATTTCCTTCCCCTCAGTCCGCGGCATTGCTTTTGCGTATGCCATGGCATATTGTACACAATACGTGCATGTGTATTCAATGTTGTAATCGGAAACTTTGGTGTATTTTAAATGCTGTACGTATTTGTCATGCAAATATTGACGTATGCTCGGTTGTTTAAAAATATCTAAACTGTCATCTATGTGTGTTAAACTGATCCATTTCAGGTTTTTGCCATGAATATACAGTGACATTCAATGTTAGGATTAAGTACGTACTTGAGATGTACCAAAGCCATATGGATATTTCTATGGGTTGCCTGAATGTAGATTTGTATTGTTTCATTTTATTTTCAAATTTGTCTAATGCCCAACAATTTCAGAAATATTATACACCACAGGATGAATCGAATTTATCCTGTAGTGTATAATAACACGTACATATACACGCACAATACATTTCTGGATGAGCATCTCCCTACTACACTGTGCAGGTTGTACGGTCTATTTGACCATATTTCGCCGTGCTGAACACTTAAATATGAACATGTAAGGTATGTCCAAACTTTAATACACTGGAAAATCCTAACTGCAAGTGCTTTACAACCTTTATGGCTTGGTAAGAAACCTCCTGAGATTTTAATCAGAAATCTGCTATTATCTTACACCTTACACATGTACATAATTCATAATCTATGCTAAGCACTTTTAAGTGGTGTAGGAAGAGGACGTACTTTCGTGTACACCATGTCGCAGGCACATGTCTCTAGTTTTGGTTTTTCACAAAGTTTAGGCAGACTTTTCATATAATTAACACAATGAAACCGAGAATGTTTTTTTCACGTTTTTGGCTTGAATCAACTCGTTGCATATTTAAACACTCCTGTCACACGAGCATGATACTTTTAACAACTAAGTTGTATTGGATGCGGTTTAACATGAAATTACTGGCCCATGTATTGAAGTCTGGTTGGCTGGGTGTCTGTATTGATGCTTGTTTTAAAATAACGCTACACAAGGTTTCTGTTTGTTTTGCAGGAAAAAAAGCGCAGCAGCCATGGCGGAAGGAGGCTTTGACCCATGCGAGTGTGTTTGCTCTCAAGAGCATGCCATGCAAAGGCTTATTAACCTGGTAAGATGCCTGTGCAAATTGAGGAAAACGTCTACAATAATCATTGATATTTCATAAATATGTTGCAACAGAAACAGAAAACACCAGTTTTGATATTTGGAAATAAATGGACTCCAGTAATTCACAGTGATTTGAGGGAGAGCATATTAGATCCTGTAATCAGTGGGGCATCGTGGTTAGTCCCGTAATCTTCCAAAAATAGAATTGTGCCGACGTGGTGTGCCACGGATGATGGGAGAATAAAGCCGCATGACTCCATTGAAAAATTTGCGTATTAGGAGGTTGCCGTCGATCGGTTTATTCTGCGTATGCTTCTAACGTGGTGTTTCGTGGATTATGGGATAATAAGCAGCTCCTGGAAGACAAGGGCAAATCATAAATAATGCACCTCAAGCTCACAGTACCCTTATGATGATAATTTTCCAGAAATCCGCTGAAAAACGCGCATTTCTTGAGCAACATTCTCATGGATTACGGGAGGAGTCTCGCACCGCCAATAATCTGCGAATTGCAGGAATTATTGGATGATTGTAGTCCTGCTGAAATACATTACTTTAATTCCTGTTTGTTATGTATACCTTTAATATTAAGCAAGTGATTTTTTTTAATGGTTGAAAAATTGGTCGTAACATTTTTTGAACAGCTCATGATCATAATATAAACGTATGCTTAATTTGATAACTGCAGAATTTGAATACTGACATATGTCATTGAGCATCGTTCCAAACATTGAGTTTATTTTAATTCCACGTGATATTTTGCAGCTGTCACTGTAGAGCGTATTTTATTTTCAGGCCAGCATTGAAGATTGTAGTCATTTAAAACTCCGTTTAAATAGACGTCTATGAAGTCATGTTTAAAAAAAATCTATGGTAACCTGTAACATCTTTAAGGTGTACAGTCCAAGACAATTGTATCTTGTTGGACAGCAAATTGCCTTGCAAATAAAACAATTGATTGCCATGAAATATTTGTGTGTTAACATGAGGACATATTTCTAATTCCTGTTACATTCAGAAATACGTATTAGTTAAAAATAGATATTTACATCTTATATGTGGCTTCATAACCGAGTGGAATAAAACATAAACTTCATAATAGAGTTTTTTGGGTTAGATCTTATGGATGATATTGGTCGCGAAAGGCTACATGTTAAAACATAAACTTGTTTTCTAAAATGCTGGCCTAAAAGGAAAAAGGACATGTGCACATAACCGCGCTTCTGCTTCTATACATAATTAGAATGTGTGGCTTTTAATTTCCCGTGAACATCCTCTGCGTTCGAGGATGTGGCCAATGTGGATTGGCTTCTGGCTGTATTCTTGCCATTAGTTCGGTTATAATCAACGTGATTTCCCTGACATTTACTAATTGTGTGCTGTTGACTCTAGTTTTTGAAAGTCAGAAAGACATCATTACTCTGTAGCTCATTCTAATGTTGTATGCATCTATAATACCCTCTAAATTTTTCGCAAATACATTTTTAAAAATTTGTAATTTATTAATGGATACTGTTAGATATTAGTGTGCTCTTGAACTTATGATTGTATTCCTCAAATATGTTTTCATATTACGCCAAGTTGCTCGCTTAATAATTGTCTTATGCAAAGGAATCATCAAAATAGTTACGTTTATTGGAAAATACTGATTAGTGATGGTGTAAGAATTACCTAAGCTTATGTTGGGGACGGACGGTCATATCCATGAACATATAAAAGTCAGAGTTCCTTACAGCTAGTTGTATGACTGTAAGTTTAATATGCAAAGTACTTTGTGGTCTAACTCGTTCCAAGCTTGCATACCAGAGGCCAGGTGCTATGTTGAACTGGTCGGACTGGATACATGGTAGTGCAACCAAACAAATAAAACAATGGAACTGGGTGTAGGTGCTGCCAGTGCAACCATGTTTACACACACGAACCAGGTTAGGTGTATTAATGTGCATAACACGGGCAGCAGTGAACACAATTTTGAGTTATATTCCTAGCCACGGCTAACCGTGGTGGTGAGTGATATCTGTACCAATCCTGGGTCTCCCCTACCCCTCCCCTTCACGAACCGGCACTATCCACAATCGTTTAGTGAGACATTCACAACATGAAGTGGTGGAGCATCACTCATTGAATCTTGACTTAAAGCTTTGGCGAATGCAAGAATTCATATTCTTTGGGTCTTTAGGTAAAGTCACGTAGAGAGGTTCAAAGCAAATAAAAAAACTACGACGTTTCGATCATACAAGCGGTCGTCCCAAAGAACATCATCAATTTGTGCGACATGCAAATGCCAGGCCCATGCTAAGAGTGTGACTTACTCATGCTTTAACAAGGGTTCTCAGTGTTACAGGGTTGGTCCAGATGTCTTTGACCCACATTTAATTCTCTGAAACTTTTTATTTTCAAAGTAAAGTTTATTTTAAGCAAAAATAATATGACACGTAGGCTTTTCGAGACCAATATTCATGATAAAAGTTTTTTGGGTTGAATCGCATGAGTATAAATGTGTCAACCCGCGACCACCCGATACAGCCAATTAGTAAGGTTTGTCACGAAAACAAAATGTGCTAATTAGTCACTACTTCAGCTCACCGGTGTGTTGGAGAGTAAATCCACAACATTTGCAAGTTGTTACATCTGCAAAGGCAATATTTGACATTTGGCAAAATTTGGCTACGTAATTACAGTACTGTTTAGGTACAGTGCACTTTTCACAAAAAATCTATTTGATTACGTTTGTTTTCAACATCACTAGACCCGGCCACTTCTTTATGACCCTTGGGCTACACCCATTTCAAACCTTTTCAAACAGTCTGCATCAGCAGCAGACCATGCTTTCCCACCTGATGACGGACGCTTGTGTTGCGCCCGAAACGTCGTGATCTATTTTATTTTATACCTACGTGACTTTACCGAAAGAACCAAAGAGTATGGATTCCTGCAGTCACGAAAGCTTCAAATCAAGATTGAACGATGTTAGACTTTACGGATGTACTGTCACCTGGTTGTGCAATTTGTTTGACCCAACCCGGTTCTCTTTAATGTGGTTGCAGCTGCAGATAGCTGGCTGTAGAACACATGTAAATTTGAAAAGCAAATATTTACAATTGCACTGTTCTGGGCATACAGCAGAGGTCCTGCGACCCTCTACTTGCCTTGGCAAAATTGCTTTATAAATTTAAAGCTTTCGTGACTGCAGGGATTCATCTTCTTAGTTCTTTCGGTAAAGTCACGTAGAAGGGAAGTAATAAAATAATAAAAATAAAACATAATAAAATAAAATAATTCTCACGACGTTTCGGCTACAACGCAAGCAGCCGTCTTCAGGTGAAGAATGAGACAATGCCAAGCTAGGAGCTTATATATAAGCTGCGTTGGAGGTGGAGGAAAGAGCGCCTTAACAAAAGAATGTGCATGTGAAGAGGAATTTAGCATATTCATGGAAAATGCGTAGGAGGTGGGCGGGGGGGTTTCAAAGTCATATTATGCCCATGCATTATGCAGGATCAACAGCACCAAGGGGGGGGGGGGGTGCAGGGATTAGCAGTAACAAAGGAAAGGAATGTTAATGATATGTAGCTGCAGTTACTCAACCACCAAATTTCTCCATGAAGATGTTGGCTACAACCGGAGATAGGGGGGAGCCCATTGGGGTGCCCTCAGTTTGCTTGTAGAAAGTTTCATTCCAGGTGAAGTATGTATTGGTTAAGCAGTGTCTCACCAGGGGGGGTACCCCAGCATTCAGTCCATGATGAACCAAGTCTTCAATGATTGCGATGGTATCAGGTACAGGAACCTTGGTGAATAAGGAAACCACATCAAAACTGACAAGCAGGTCGTCTGGGGACAGGGCAATCCCCTTGATTGTCGATACCAGGTCAGTAGAGTTTAGTACCGCAGAGGTGGTTTTTCCAGTGAAAGGCCGTAGGATTTCAGACTCCCCCACCTATAAATTGGCTCGTTTTTTGTCTGAAATCCTACGGCCTTTCACTGGAAAAACCACCTCTGCGGTACTAAACTCTACTGACCTGGTATCGACAATCAAGGGGATTGCCCTGTCCCCAGACGACCTGCTTGTCAGTTTTGATGTGGTTTCCTTGTTCACCAAGGTTCCTGTACCTGATACCATCGCAATCATTGAAGACTTGGTTCATCATGGACTGAATGCTGGGGTACCCCCCCTGGTGAGACACTGCTTAACCAATACATACTTCACCTGGAATGAAACTTTCTACAAGCAAACTGAGGGCACCCCAATGGGCTCCCCCCTATCTCCGGTTGTAGCCAACATCTTCATGGAGAAATTTGAGACGGACGCCATCCAGACTGCCACTCTACGCCCGACCTTATGGAAGAGGTACGTAGACGACACTTTTGTCATCTGGCCACATGGCCGTGCTGCTCTAGACCAATTTCTCGACCACATCAACTCCATACACCCAGCCATCAGATTCACCATGGAAGTCGAAAAAGATGGCAAGCTACCCTTTTTGGATGTCCTAATCAAAAGGAGACCTGATGGTTCAATGAGCCACTCTGTCTACAGGAAAGCCACCCATACGGATGCTTATCTAAAACCGGATTCCCACCACCATCCATCCCAGAAGAATTCCCTCATCAAGACTCTATATCATAGAGCCCAATGCATCTCCGACCATGAACACATTGCCAGTGAACTCAAACACGTACGCCAAGCTCTTAAGGTTAATGGTTACTCCGACTACACAATCCGCAAAGCCATCACTCCAACCATCAAGAAGGATCCTGTTGAGGAGCCTTTCAAGACCATCACCTTACCCTACATTGCTGGGGTCACAAAAAAGATCTCCAAAATCCTGATTAAACACAAGATCCAGGTCCGATTCAACACAGTACATAAAATCCGTGATCTGGTACCGTCTGTAAAAGATGTGGTTCCAGACATACAGTACCCTGGCGTCTACAAACTAAGTTGCCTCTGTGGTAGCAGTTACATTGGGGAAACCAAACGACATGTCTCGGACCGCATCCGTGAACATAAAGCTGACCTGAAACACGGTAGGACAAACACCTCAGCCGTGGCAGATCACTGTTACAACTCAGTGGGCTCACATGATATTGACTTCTCCAAGACAGAGGTTCTCTGCAAGCCATCTGGCTATCATGAGAGATTCGTTCATGAGGCGATCCACATATACAAACACAGAGACAATTTTAACCGAGAAGATGGATTCTGGCTTAGCAATCATTGGAAGGACGTAATAAACCATTTCGACACACATTAGGGTGGGTAGAATAATACATAGTGTTATATTAAATGTATAAGATATAGGTTGGTTTACAGCAATACAGTATATAATTCAATGTTGGCAGTATATAGTACGGTATATGCTCGTGTGATGCAATAGAATAAAGTTTAGATGGAAGCATATTATATAATTTTTACGACGTAGAATTGTAATGTATTACTTGCTGTTAGTAACTCAGCTTAGTGTATAGTATAGTAAGTATACTGATGGTGCTATGCTATTTATACTTTAGTTTTTTATGTAGTTTATACTTTAGTTTTCTACGTGGTGGTTGAGTAACTGCAGCTACATATCATTAACATTCCTTTCCTTTGTTACTGCTAATCCCTGCACCCCCCCCCCCCTTGGTGCTGTTGATCCTGCTGAATGCATGGGCATAATATGACTTTGAAACCCCCCCGCCCACCTCCTACGCATTTTCCATGAATATGCTAAATTCCTCTTCACATGCACATTCTTTTGTTAAGGCGCTCTTTCCTCCACCTCCAACGCAGCTTATATATAGCTCCTAGCTTGGCATTGTCTCATTCTTCACCTGAAGACGGCTGCTTGCGTTGTAGCCGAAACGTCGTGAGAATTATTTTATTTTATTATGTTTTATTTTTATTATTTTATTACTTCCCTTCTACGTGACTTTACCGAAAGAACTAAGAAGATGCTTTATAAATGTTTAAAAATACAGAACATTTCTGTAAGTTTCCATGATGCTAGATCATGTGGTGTGTATATATATATTCCATAGTTATGTGCTTCTGTGTCATATTCATCATGCTTAATACTTACATTTCAATTTCCATACGGTATATAGTCAATTATGTGCGTACATAATTTGGTTATGTTGACGATGCACGTCATCGATTCATTGTTATTTTTAAGATACCCCATATATTTTTACAACTGATATACAATTTCATTAAATATATTGTGTACAGTTTTGCTGTACTGTGCTGAATGGGCTCTAAGGGGTTTGTTCATTGAGGGCCCTTAGTGGTATTGAATATACCATGCCCCGCTCTTTAGATGTATAAAGTAAAACTATTCCACAACTTGCATCCTTAAAAATGTAATGCTGGAAAAACTTTGGTCCAGATGCCCATCGGCTTATTATTATTATTTTTGGTGCAACAAATCTGTCATTTTTGCTGACAATAGCAAGCTATTAAATACACAAATTTGCATGTGACCTCATTGTCATGGAGAACGATTTTTTATATTTGGAAGAACAACATTTATATGCTAACTTAAATGTTTAGACAGTTTGTGCATGCTAAAGACGTGTTTGATTGAAGTCATGCGAGACTGATACATGGAAGTTATGTGCCATTTCTGAAAAACGTCAATGTTTGAATTCATAGTTTGTGTTGAAAATGGTGCCCAAAATTGTATTTGTTTTGCAGCTTCGCCATTCCCAGGGCTACTGCACCGACAATGAATGCCTTCAGGAGTGTAAGTGTCAATATATAAATATCCTTTTTATTCAAGGTCTTGGCTGAATTTGTTCCTGCACGTCAGTGGTCCATTCATCTATTACACCTACCCTTGATATTACTGTAACTGGATGCAGTGTTAACAATTTTGCGTTCCTCAAAACAGCATTTTTTGCATTGATAATTTTGTGTAAAGGTTTTAAATCGATAAACTAGAGGCTGTAATAAAAGAAACAGCAAATGTTGATATCCCAAGATTGTTTTTCATGGTGGCAGCAGAAGTAAAGGAATTCAAGAATGTTTTATGCATTTGGGAATATATATATATTTTAAATATTTTGTGGTTAACAGCATGTTTACATTAGGAAGCCAGTTATTACCATTGGTGTTAAAGGGACAATTATGGTACAAATGTATTTTTGTAAGTGTTATAGAAATCATATAGTCACTGATGTCGCAGATGGGTATGCATATCTCATAGCTAAAGCTTAAAAATAGGTTTCCACTGATTAAATACATTGGGAAATGAAATAGTTGTATAGCTACACTCGTAGTTCCAAAACTGCTATACATACGATGTAATCCTAATCATCGAAGCTGAAAGCGTTTCCAAGAGCTTGACTCACATTCTGTGCCACTCGAAATGCATTAAGTTGAACTTTGTCACTTGGGCTGTGGATGTTGAAGTTCCTACCTGGGTATTTTCCAATATTATTTGTGTTTCGTGATGCTTTCCACGTCTGATTTGTTTAAACTCCTCATTTAGTTTGCTGCCATTCTATTAATAGCAGCCTTTTCAGGATTGATATTAGAATTACACATGTGTTTGTGATTGACTATTTAGGGCATGTTCTCCAGAACCACACCTCCTATGAGCACGGTTGGCTACATATGGTGCGAAAGAAGTTCACCTTACATAACAAATATTTTTCGATGTAAAGCTTTCGTGATTGCAGGGATTCATATTCTTGGTTCTTTCGGTAAAGTCACGTAGAAGGGAAACAATAAAATAATAAAATATAAAACATTTCTTGCTTTGGATTTCATACCTGATGATGATTGCTTGTGTTGCAGTCGAAATGTCGTGATACTTTTATTGTTTTATTATTTAATTGTTTCCCTTCTACGTGACTTTACCGAAAGAACCAAGACTATAACAAATATTGTTTAGTTTTTTTTATGTATATCTGTTGATGTATAAATGATGTAAACAATTCCTGCATATGCTTAAAAGCTGGAAGAATAAAAAAAAACATCTCAAGATATATTTTTCCTCTGTGGTTTGAGAGATGAGTAAAGAGAATCTTGCGCCCTCATGCGTTGACTGCTTTGCTCACTTGATTTGCACCCTCACAGTGCCTGGGCCAAGCCAATCTGCAGGGGGCATGGACCCTACGCTCACGATGGTGATGATGGGCTGGGTTGTGCTGGCGCTGGTATTGTTCCTGTTTCGGCCGTCGAGCCTGCGAGGCCGTGGTGACTCCAAGCCGACCGGGCACGACAACCAGGTGAGTTATATTTTGACTAACACACGGTCTAAAGTAACCAAGACTCAACATTTTTTTGCTTGTAACACTTCTGTATATGGAGTGTATATATATATATATAATGTTGTGATGTTTCAGGCGATGTCCCTTCATAGTGGAGAGATGGTGATGGAGCATTGCCTGAAACATTGCCTATTTAATATTTTCTTCCTTTTAGGGCAGCAGTGTTATTCACCAACTTTGAGTTTATGCAGCATGTGCTTGTTTCTGGCTCTATTTGCAGTGTCATATTTTTTGCAGTAACACGGCCTTTAAATTAAGTCTTTTTTTAAAGCAAAGACTGCATTTTAACTGCTTAGTTTATTTTAACTTTGCCAAATATGAGAAAAACTCCACTTTTCACTGCCTTGTGACTTTGTACTTGCTGCCTTATGAGTTTCAGATAATGGTCCTTATTCAGCAGTTTGGGAGATTGTATCCTGTTAAGTATTTTTTGTTACAAGGCAGTGTTAAGATGAACATGTTGAGTTTTGTTCATGCAATTTTATGCACTCCTGGCAATACCTTAATTGTTCTAACTTTAGCAGGGTTATTTTATGGATTTGTGTAAAGTGCATATAGCCAGGTGATTTAGTACCAACGCGAGCTTCGTGTTCACAGGTACATAATAATTTTTGCTGTGTATCCAAGGTCGAATTAAATATGCCTCTGTGCATCAGATAACAACAGCCCAACAGGATTGTTGTCAATCTTTGGTGTTGTTCACAAGTTACAACCAGGCTGTGGCAGGCTGTCTTGAAAAATACAAATGGTGCATGAGTTTTTTGCATGTTATGCTAACGCAGTGAATCTGTTGTTTCTTTAGAATGGCAGACGGGAACCACCTGCTCCCCCCCCTGTAGATTGATGGAGGGAGCTATGCTCCAAGTGGAATGAATGAAGTGGTGCAGCCAACCCGACTGATGATGATGATGCCTTTCCCAAGCCAATATCGCACATAGAGGCTTCAGCTGCCCTTGTTATTTTTTCACCAAAATAGTTGGTGATGAATTGTAAACGCTCACGCTGAAATTTAAATTCGATAAGGGAAAGTGTGTGACACTTACATTTATATATTTTTTTCACTGTTCAATTTTGCTGCCGTAATATATACACAGATACTTACAGCCTCGTACAATTGAAATCCAATACACAGGCTGTCAAGTCTTAATTGCACACTGTATATTTGTAGATTTCTCGACCTATTCTACCCTTGTACATCTGACCAATTGTTCACAAACTCCAGTCCTGAAGCCTGGGCATGATAGATCGTTCATACTTGGTAATTGGTGCATGTGTGCAATGTATCTTTAGTTTACATCTGATTTAGGAGAGCTTTGGCATACAGATAAATGACTTCGGTGAAGCATTTAGACTGAGGACTGGAGTATTGTTGTATTAAGCAGGTACAGGTATGTTTATACTTCAGGCTTGTGAATGTCAGTTCCATTATATGGCTTTATTCCCAAGATTTATAAAAAAAAAATTGCTAGTTGTTTGACAGATGCTTTTGTTTGGATCCCTGAATGATGCATGCCTTATCAAGGGTATGTCAGAGGCTTGTGTGTAGGTATGCTTATTAAGGCAATGATTTGTATTTGTTGCCAAAGTAGAGTGTAGTACAGTTGAAGTCTTCTATAAAAGCTGCTGATCTCTTCAAAAGCTGATTTTTGTTAAATATCTTGTTCATATGGGACTGTATTCTTCTGTGGGCTTCTTGTAGTATCTGTATAGAATCCAGATGTGTTTTTGAACTGTACTTTATATTATATAAACGGGTCTTTGAGGCCATTATCTTGAGGTTTGAGAAATCCATTAAAATGCATTGCTACAGTGTTCAGTGCATTTGCAGACAATTAAACGATCATATTCTGCCTTTTTGGAATCAGCAAGTGAGAAACCAAGCAACTCCTTTGTGCTTTGAATAATTTTCGGTAATGAAATAATGCAAGTGCCTCTTAAGTCCACAGGTATTCCAGCATATGTTGGTGAAAAAATCATTAGGCAGTTGTGGTGACTAAAGACTAATGTCACTGCTTTCCTGCACCATGGAAAAGATTATTAAAGCAAGAAACTGACTTGAGTTCCGTAGCTTGAACATGATAATTTCTAGTTAATTCTAATTTGCTACTGTTTCAATGCCATTAATCTATTGGCTGACTGGGCCCCATCCTAAAGTGTCCATTTGGATCAGAAGTAACGGGTCATTAAAACCAGATTGCATTGTCAAGAAGGGGTTGAGGAGGAATGCAGCCATCGTTGGATAGACACTTGCAGTTCATACAGTGTCTTGCAACACACTGCAACCGTTGATATTAAGGGCCATCGAAATGCTTGTATACTATTTAACCTCTTAAATATGTATTGAAGATTAAGCATTAATTTGCATTGATGCTTAAACATAAGATGTGAACGCATCTTGAATATACAGGCTGGTGTTAACGTCTGGTTTTATGCTGGTCCCAGCGTGTACTTATTTTTTTGTTGAACTGTCAGATATTCATATTTTTCAAATTCTATCATTTGTTATGGTTGACCTGTCCCATCACAACAAATTAGTATGAATATTATGGAATCTATAAACACGGCATTCCAATCTGAAGGTCTCCAATCTACTTTAAGAAGTGATTATCAACTGTACATTGCTTCATTTCAGCCATAACTGGACCAGCATGCACTGCTGTTCTTGACAACGCAGCTCTTCAATATTTTATTTTTTTGCAACGCTGTTTTTGTGTTTCTCCAGGTTTCTCCATCTGTTTTATCGGTTGTTGGAGCAGGTTTAATGTCAAAGGATTCAAGCAGTTTAGGTCCAGTCCCAAAAGTAAACACTGATGCATTGCTTTGCAATGGATTTTTTCAAAGCTGATTTAATTGCCACATTCCATATTGTAAGCTTCTGTAACTTGGGAGACATTTTGATTTTCACTCAGCCCTGAAAGTGCATCACTTGACCATCCAAGCCCCACTTGTGAAGGCACTGTGAACACTTCTAGGGCTGCATCAACTTTACAGACAATTACTTGAAATCTTGGGATTGTATCAGCCACGAGAGCTTAAGCAATGTCCTATATTTCGGTCACATAACATACATGCTTTTTTCTTTATCTCACATATGTTTTTTGGATTTTTGGATGATGTATACTAATGTGTGCAAATTGTTAAACTTGTGCAATGTTACGATCGGGAAAGGTGAACATTGTACTTGATGCTTGTTGATTAAACGGTATATGCTATGCACTTTGTTGTAGCTATTAAAAGAAAAAAAATGAAAGAAATAAACAATTAAAAGTGATGTTACCACAGTGCGGTGAATTCATGAACTCTCTTTGTACAGCTTTAAAACCTGTGAAGTCTTTTAACTGGCAGTAAAAGCCACCTCTTGCTGTAACCGGTGATGGTCAGTGCATTCGAAACCTCTTGTATTTTTGTCATGGAGAGTGAACATTTCTGAATGAATGGAATGCATGACATGAACCAGCCTGAATATATCGACTGTTGATGCCAAAGAATGTTCCTGTAGAGTACAAATCGTTGGCAGAGTCTGGTCTGTTCACCATGCACTCTGTATCAAATGGCAATGAATAGCATTGTGGTGGGCAGTAAAGATCTACGAGTGATTGGTAATGCTATTGTACTGCATCACGTTGGACAAAAATGGTCCGTCTGCCTTGTAAGATATAACCTGACATTGGAGTGTAGCCGTGCGTGGTCACCAAAATAAGTAATCGTACAAGGTATCTTCAGTGTCTGACTGGGCGCGTCTCACCACAGTTTGTATACAGCTACAAAAAACAAAGACCCCCCGTATAGCCTTAACAGACTGTAGGGGCAAGTGCTGTTAGCGAGCACCTATGAAGACCAGAACGGTACACGAGGGGGTGGGTGGCCAGCACCACGCCCGACCGCCTTTGTCTTCCCAGTGGCGATGTTTACACCGCAACGGATACTCATTTGAGGCTGAGTCGACTTACGGGAGGCCCAGGACCGCTTTAGATAATCGTCACTGGTGTTGGCCGTGAGCGGGAATCGAACCTGGGTGGCCGGGTTCATAGCGCAGCACGCTAACCGCTACACCACCGCTCCCCACACAGCTACACCGGAGGTTGCACCGCAAAGAAAACCTTTGGGGAGGTATATTCTCAACGTGAGTGCGATGCAGAGTTACGTAGCCGTTAAAAGAATGTTCGAATGGGAAAGCAAATGATGTGCGTGACGGTACCGAGTGTGCCGAGGCAATAGGAAGCGAATGCAGCAGCAGCAACAACAAGCAACGTGTCTCGCAAGGTATCTCAATGAAACCGAATGGTCTCCACCAGGTGGTGCTAGGGCAATAAATGGCGTTACATCCGCGATGATCGAGTTGGGTGAGACCTCGCGTGCCATCAAGGGCCGTTCACCAGGAAAGCCGAACTTGTGTGTGGTGTCAAGGGTCCCATCACGACCGTGCATACATTTGTCATGGGTTGCCCCCCCCTCTCCTCCCTCCTCAACTTGCTTTTAAGGGATTACATCTTGAATCATTGCCTCACTTGATGCAGAAAATCTGGCTGTGACGGTCCCACACCTGATGACGGAGACTTGTGTTGCCTCCGAAACGTCGTGATTTTTATTTTATTTTACTTTAATTAATTTTAATGTTTTACCTACGTGACTTTACCGAAAAAACCTAAGAATATGGGTTGCCACTTTTATTAAATGTGAAATTTAGCTTAAATTCACGGTGGTCTTCCGTTGGACCGGTAATACTAAGCTCTGGGATGGGAATGAGTGGAGAAATAGGGACCGGGAAAGGCAAGGACCACACTTGAGTGGGGGAAATGACAGAACAAGGCAATTACGTTGCTGGACGTTTAATTTTACTCCAAATTCATTATCCGCGGGTTATTAAGTCTGCTGACTTGTTGGATGGAATCCAAATGGGCCACAGTTCTGCAGGTCATTACTGAGTGTGTAAAGTAACCTACATAAGTGATGTATTTGTGCCAATATGTTGTGACATACATACGTTAAGTAATTACCAATTTGTTTTATTAGCTTGCCACGCAGCATGGTATTGTCCCATATTTGTGAATTGTAATGTGTCGTCAAAAATATCTGCCATGATATTATTGTGTTGCCTTCCACTCGAAATTAAAGCATCTTGCTTCGAGCGAGGCATGCACCAAAGACGGAGGTAGATTTGTGGGAATTGACGAGCACAATAAAATGTAAAATTGCGTAACGCCTCTGCGTGTGTTCTCGTTCAAAAAATGAAAATGCACCCACGGGGACCCGCCCCATGTGTAGAATGTTAGAATGTGTGCCATGCCCTTCACTAAACGGGGGCTAATCTCACACTTCATCTCCACCCAAACAGCACAACACACCACCACTCGCCCAGGACATCGCTGGACCACTGCAAGCGTCGCTTGAATTGCAACAACAATATTCGGGGGGGGGGGGGGGCACTATAATGAACTAATCAGGTGCATCATCCGTGATGTTAAAAGCGACTCTAGATTTGAAGCTTTCGTGACTGCAAGGTTTTTCGGTAAAGTCACGTAGGTTAAAAATGTATAATAATAAAACGAATAGAAATAATGGAAATAAAATAGTAATAATAATTATAAAAATAATTATTAAAATATTTAATAAAATAATTACTATTTTATTTTTATTATTATTTAAATATTTTTTAATTATTATTTCTTTTTTATCTACGTGACTTTACCGAAAAACCTAAGAGTATGCTAAAAGCGACGTTTGGGACACGATACTGTGAGCGTTGCTTTGTCCATGCCACATTCTGTAATTTGGACGTATGGACGTATGGACTCAAGTATTCATAGTTTGCAGGGGAGACAGCACTGTCCTTTCCGAGTGGATTGCACTCCTGGCTGTTGGGTAAGTCTCGCCTCTGTTCCCACGTTTTCCACGGTGGACGGGACGTGATTGATGGGGGGTTGATGTCGTCTTCGGCACCAAAAAGTGTCCACGAGTAATCGGCCGCCAAAGAAAGCAGTGGATTATAATGTTTTGGTCGATTAATGGACTGATCGTCCCAGCTCTGACATGAATACATTAATAAATAAGCTCCTAAACATGTTAAAACAGGTTAGAAATGTATTCCATACTCATGCAATAATGAGTTAGCTCTTGAACACGTTAACACAGGTTGGATTCCATGTCCCCAGGCACACGTGGACCCTGCTCGTATCACTCGCTTGAAACGTGTGACCTCTCGTCAGCTGATTCTGTGTGAGTCTGTTATACACAGTAGCGTAATTAGCGTGGGGGTCCTTGCCCCCCCCCCCCACCGTGGTGACCAAAGCTACGAGTTGGGGGGTCCTCAGACAACCATCATGATATATGTTTTCAACAACTGTGTAAAAGAACAAAAACGTTATGTAACGATGTGCTTAAGCAAGATGACCCGCGATATATAGCCGAAGGTGCGACCGTGCGAGTCACATCAAATATTAGGGCCCCACCTAACCGATTGCCCCCTGAGCTGACAATGCAGTTACTACGCCACTACCTAAACAAGATGCTTATACTGGTAGGAACCTCCTGGTTACACTAGCCCACAGGGGATTATTGTGTCCGTCCGCCGTGCATTCAAAAATGGGAGGGGTGGGGCTGGGTGGAGAGGGGAGGGTGGGGAGGGGCTGGGTGGAGAGGGTGGCGAGGTGCTGGGTGGGGAGGATGGGGGGGGCTGGGTGGGGAGGGAGGGGCTGGGTGGGAAGGGGCTGGGTGGGGAGGGTGGGGCTGGGTGGGGGGTGGGAGGGGTGGGGCTGGGTGGGGAGGGGCTGGTCACCCCGTGGTGCCCTTATAAAACTCAACGTTTAACCTATTCACGCCGGCTTGTGCCCGCCCTCACAGTCGGGCATATTTGCGGAATACACCACGCCGCCGTTGACCCTGCAGGCCATTGACCGAGCAACCCAACGTTCCTACCAGCTCCCTCCGCAGGAATGTGTTTCACAGCGGGACAACGCGGCGGTTTTAGAGGTATCGAAAGTCAACATTACTTTGGTGTTTACGAATGAGAAACTCGCTTGTGTAGCCTTGATCTCTGGGCACGCTAAAATGAATGCGTTGACATTGACTTCGGGCTTAAAATGTCAAAGATAACTGCGTTGTGTTGTTTCAAACACAAGTTAAACCCAGTTAAGGAAATGTGTATCATTTAGACTTGAGCGCCACTGCTGCTGTTCATACTTTGTGAAACGTATGCGTGGAGATATACGCATCCCTGTTAACCTCTTATCCAGTGCCTACCTTATTAAAGACCAATTCAGACCTTACTGGTCACCCCGTGCCCTTCTAAATCACAACGTTCATCATACAAAGTCCCATCACAAGGGAGAAACACAAACAAATAGACACACATTTTTTTGCCCGTATTGAAACGGCTATACGCCGTATGGACCTGAAAACTCAATGTCCCTGCACAAGAATACGGGTTAACCTTATGGGTTATATATATACAGCTATGTATATACATATATATGCGAGTGCAATACATGTTTGCTTTGTACTGCCACGTGACTGACACGTGTGTCAGCTTCTTGGTGTAGTGCAACGAAGCCACATTTGAGCGGATTTGCACAATTCCTTGGATGGCTCCTCGTGTGCTGAATTTCATTACCTGACTCTTGGTGCGCAGTATGTGTAGCAACTCTGAGAAATTGGCTCTTTGTGGCTTTGCAAAACGCTCTGCTGCATTTCCCTCTGAAGGATGTGTTGTTATCGGTGATGGCGTGTTGTCACATTTGTGTTTTTGGATGTGTCTCCACTTGCTCGTGTGTTAGACAGCTTGCGCATGAGTACGTTGCAAGCATATCTGTGAACAGAGACTCATCAAACGTCCGCTGGTAAACGATTAATTTCTCTAATAATTACTATAATCACCCAGGAATGTTCTTAACGCTCGTGACGTCACTCCAAATCGACCAGCTCCACTAATTAATGATCATGAGCAGGTGACGTCCTCCAAATGGACACCCCCCACCCTTCCTCGTTAATAATCATGAGCGGCTTACGTTATTCCACATGGGGGGGCCGAGGCGCCTCCTCCCCCCTCCTCGGCGTCAACTCACAACCCTCACTACACGTCACGCTGTTGAGACATCAAAGTAAAAAGGACGTCATGATGAACAAGGGATTATCACCTTTAAATGAAATAAGTCTGTGTCACCGCGCCATTACAAATTGCACACGAATTGATGCAATGAATATCACGTGGCGGTCTGATTTTCGCTTGCAAGTTTCAGATTTACTGCAATACACCCGTCCTTGGACGGGCAAAAGGCTAGTCTTT